TTTTTTTTTTCCCACTTTTCCTAGGAGTAGAAATTCAAGGTAAAGATGAGAAGCCATTCTCAACCATATGTGTAAAAGATTCCAGATGTCAGACAGGTGGTGGTGGTTCACACCTTTAATCCCAGCATTTGGGAAATAGAGGCAGGTGGAACCCTGTGAGTTTGAGGCCAGCCTGATCTACAGAGAGAGTTCCAGGAAAGGCTCCAAAACTACAGAGAAACTGCCTCAAAAAACAAAAAAAAAAAAAAACAAACAAAAAAAAAAAATCAGTCATGTGTTGTTTTGTCCAGCACTTGTTTGCAGTTATATGCTGAGGAAATAATTATGAGTGAACAAACATTTAGCTGAGAGTGAAGACTGGATGACAAAACAGGACTTTAAATAAGTTATAATTTACCACTGAGATGACAGCATAAGAAAATATTTAATGACATGACTCGTGGCATTCTGTGAAACAGGCCAATGACAGCAAAACAACCCTATGTTGGTTTGTATAAAAAGATTTGGGAGGTCGTTTACCCTTGTGTTATTACTATTGGTTATCTCTGGGAGTTGAAATTATGAAGTTTTGTTTCTGAATTATTTAAAGAATGTGTACTAGTTGTGTGATTTAAAGGAAACAAAAATGGAAATATTAACAAACATTAGCTCTATATTCAGTGATTTACAATTTTTCTTATGGCAAGAACTGTCCCATTTTGTATCTATTCCCCTCAGTTAAGATGACCTCTTTGAATTCTAAGTCGATTGTGCAGCCCATGAGGAATCTGCTGTTCATGAATTTGTGAGTGTTCAATAATGACCAGGAGATGATGCTGGAGAAAACACTGTGTTCCCAGTTCAAAATATCATTGACTTTATAAAATGGTGCAGATACTCTAACCTAGAATTGAATGCATGCCTCAAGGTTAATTAGCAATGTTTCAAATTATAGACTACTGTTGCTTCTTGTGCAACGAACCATTAATTAGCTATGCAAATGAGGAAAGAAGGAAATGATTACTGGAGGAAAAAAACCCATCAGTTGGGGAAAAGAGAAAAGACTTCATTTCAGGCCTGAGTTTCAACCACTGATTTTTAAAACCAAACCGGCCATAATGACTTAAAGTATACTTTTTTTCACAGTTGAGGTACTACATATATATATATATATATATATATATATATATATATATATTTTGATAAACATTTGTTTTCTTTTGAGATTGTCCTTCCAAAAAATCATATCAAAATATAATAACAAAATGACCCAAATGTAAACAATAGAAAACTAGAGGTAAAAGTATGGTCAGTGAATACAGTTCAATTCCAGAAGAGATTTTCAAATGCCACTTAGAGTTCGCCCTCTAAACCAGCTACCCTGGAGTGTGTGGGAGTTGCTGAGCCAACCAACAGACAGATTCTCTAGTTGATTCCCGCTGCTCTTGAGCATTTGCTTTCTGGTAAAATCTACAATTAGATAAATGAGGGAAACCTTACCAGGTGTCATTCACCTTTCCCCTCTGCCAAGATCTTTGGTGATTTTTCTCAGAAAAACAAACAAAACAAAACAAAAACTACAGGAGGAGTAGTAGATACTCAAGCAGAATCTGCCTAGTGCCACGATAGATGATTGCATTAAAAAGAATGTATCACTGGGGCTAATAAAAAAGAATGTATCACTGGGCTGGTAAGATGGCTCAGTGAGTAAAGGCACTTTCTGTTGGCTAGGTGACCAGAGTTCACCAAATCCAATCCCTGGCACTCACATGGAAAGAAAGAACTGACTACTCTGATCTCTTTGCTCACTTTGACACACACACACACACACACACACACACACACACACACACACACGAGAGAGAGAGAGAGAGAGAGAGAGAGAGAGAGAGAGAGAGAGAGAGAGAGAGAATAACATGTAATAAAATTTAAATGTAGCTCATGAGTGGAAAGGCAGCTACTCAGAAGCTCCTGGCACCCCTTGGAACTTACTTATTTCTTTGGCAATTAAGAAGCCCCTTAATTGCCTTCTCTTTCATTACTTTTTACCTTCTAGTTTTTCTCTGCATGGAAGCATGCTTCTGTTGTCTTACAGTATTGGATCTGACTATGTGTACACTTTTGCAAATTGTATTTTAGTATTAACCTTATGTTCTGAGACTTTCTTTTGTGATAATGGCTGGCTTCTGAGAAATGCTCTATGATAAACGTTTTCTGTTTAGGTGGCAAATCCGGTTATGGAGAGGCACCACGTGAAGATGTAACTATCTGCCTTGATTTAGTTCTCTACCACGGCTTTAGGCCTTTTCCTTGCTTTTCCTTCTATTTCTGATCAGAAAACAATACCAGTCAACAACATGGTGAGTTCATGGTGATATTTGGGATTGTATCCCATAATTTTCCTATGGATATTGAGCCTTCTCCCCTTCTCTGCTACCATGTGCTTCTCCAATTTGTGTATCCAGCATTTCTCAAGGAGTGATGATACTATTTTTCTTCCCTTTACCTAGACATACTCCTCCAAACTCTTAAAGTTTATTTCACCAAGACATTTCTATGGAAGATTAATCATTTTAGAATCTAATCTGTACTGTTTACTATATACTGTGCTAAGAGTTTATAGTCTCATGTATTTAACATCATGACAACTCTACAAGGCAAATGCTGTTATGGTCTCATGTTATAGTAAGTTTTAAAAACAACAACAAGAACAAAACAATCTGCTCCTAAATAACTTGTCCAGTATCACATAGCTAGTAAATTGAAAAGCTGCATTCTAAACCCAAGGCTATCTTCTTCTGAACTATTTTAAATGTTATTATCTAAAATCCATATTTATTTAAAATTTTAAACATCGCATTTAATAGCATGTCACATTAGGCTTCTTGTGGCTATACATTTTTTCAAACTTTCCTTATTTTCTCCAAATTCTTTTTAAAGAATACAGTCACTCTATCATCGGGCACTACATAATAGTAGCCATGATTTACTGGGCATTTCCATGTGAATCTCTGACCTCACAGCAGCCTTCTAAGGCAGACATCACACTCTTCAGTTTGAAACTGGTGCTTAAAAATCAAGAAATGGTGGCCTATCACAGAGCTACCACTTGGTTCGGCAGGATAATGAGCTAGAACTCAGATGAGTTTCATGCTTTTGTTACTATTGTAGTTTAAAGAGCTTACGTCTATGTGTGTTTAAAGAATAAACTGAATACTAACAGCAGAGTGGGAAGGCCACAAAAAAAAGGGTACTCCTGGTCCAACTCTTACTAATTTTCTTTCATTCTCCTTCTCTTTCTTTCTCTGCCTCTCCTTCCTTCCTTCCTTCCTTCCTTCCTTCCTCTCTTTCTTCCTTCTTTCTTCTCTTGAGTTTCACATGGCAGCCCAGGCTAACCTGGAAATCATGTGTTCCTCAGACTCCTGAGTCCTAGATTGTAGGTGTGACTCATGGCATCTAGCTCAACTCTTACCTAACTCCCAAACTCCTCCTGATTACCTAACAAAATGTTTTAAGTCAAAAGTCACCAAGGTAGTTTCTTTGCTCTCTGGGAGATCAACTTATCAAATAGTTTTGATCATTAGAAAATGTGTTCTTTAAATGGTTGTTGGTTTTTGGTCTTAAAGTGGCTCTATAGTGCCAAATACAAACCTCTGAGAACTCTGCCATTCATAGCATGTACCTGAGTAGACTTCTTTTTTTCCTTTTTAATACAGAGTAGCTAGGTTTGTTTTTGTTTTAGCATTTTTCTTTTCTTTGTGTTTGTTTGTTTGTTTGTTTGTTTTTCAGACAAGACTTAGCTTTGTTGCTCAGGCTGCTTTGGAACTCCTTATGTATCACAGCAGTCCTATCTCAGACCCTGAGTTCAGCGACTACAGGTATGTGCTGTCCATGCCTGGCTCCCTTCAGCATCTTAATGAAGACACTTTAAGCCACAGTGACTGTTGTTGTGGAATATTATTTTAAGATGTGTTATATTTATTTATGCTCTGGGATATTTGTTAATGATGCAAAGATGTGTTGCATTCTTTTATGCTGCATTTCTTTAACTCTTTGATGCCTTGTTATTTTGCATGTCTGAAACACCTGATTGGTCTAATAAAGAGCTGAATGGCCAGTAGAGAAGCAAGAGAAAGGATAGGCAGGGCTGGGAGACAGAGAAAATAAATAGGAGGAAGAAGAGGGATCAGCAAGAAAGGAGAAGAGGATGCCAGTAGCCAACCAGCCAGCCACACAACTAGCCACAGAGTAAGAAGAAAAGAAAGGAATACAGAATAGAGAAAGGTAAAAGCCCAGAGGCAAAAGGTGGATGGAATAATGTAAGAACTGGCTAGAAACAAGCCAAGCCAAAGCTGGGGATTCATAAGTAATAATAAGTCTTTGTGTGTTTGGGAGCTGGGTGGTGGACCTCACAAAGAGTAAATAACAAAACAAATTTTAAAAAACAACTGCAGACTGCAATGTTCTCCAGTAACAAGTCCCTACAGTGCATTACAGCACAGCAATGTGTGTGTCCTCTGTTGACCCACTCTGCTGTCAAAGGGTACTTGGGAGCACCTCCATCCTTCTTCCCTCCCCAACACAGTATCTGTCCATCTCAACAGATCCAACGGATGCCAAAGCTGACACTTTTTCCAACCCTTTACCCGGACAGCCGTTTCCAGAAAACCCCTTGAGACATTAGTTTTTCTAGGTGAGTCAAACTTAGGGGAATATTTTTGTGAATTTGACAAACAACTTAGCCAGAAGTCAGTGAGCCATGGACAGGAGAGACAGCTCCTTTCTGCTTGATCCCCCCCCCCCCCCATCCTGACCTTTGCAGCAAGCAGGAGCCCAGCTGCAATCTGCGGGGCGCGTGGGGCGGGGCTGGAGGATGCCAGCGGAGGGGCGGGCTCCTGGACTGCCTCAAAGAGTCTGCCACCAGGCTTCCGACTCAGCGACATCGTCGCGGAGCCAGGCGCCCTCGAGTCTGCCCTGTCCATTAGTACCTAGCCATAGCGGGAGGAAGCTAGCAAAAGAGTTGGGAAATACTGCTAGGGGACCTTGCCGCCATCAGCACCATGGACAACGCATTCGGGCAGCCCCAGGCGCGTCTGGACGCCGCTGGCTTCTGGCAGATCTGGCAGCATTTCGACAAGGAAGGTAAGTCCCTTTGGTTACTTGAGTGCTTAGCTTAGACATTGAGGGAACTGGAATTTCTCCTGTCTTTCCCTATGGAAAAAGTTGGATGGAGTACACCCAGTACTATCAGCTTGTTATGCTGGTTTTACACATCAAGAAAGCTTCTGAAAATTCTGTTTGGACAGAGAGATTTTGCTTTCCAACTGTGTGTGTGTTAACATACAATTAATATATTTCACAAATATCATTGCAGACCTACTCCAGGGTGTTGGGCCAAGACTCAGAAATCTCTGGTGCTTCTGTAGATGTTACAGGTTTTCATTAGTGACTGTCACATTACCCACCCTCCACGCTCTACAAAGGAGGATGAATTTTTAGCAACATTCAGGTTTACTTTCCCTCTACCTCAAAACACATTCTTGAAAATAAAACATATTTTGTTTCATTAGTAATTAATGAAACACAAAGAAAATATCTGAAAGCCATGTTTACACACAAAAGCTAGGATTCAGAATTTACTTCGATCAAGATATTAGTGGGCTGATATTGAAATAACAAAAAGTGCAGGGGCTGGGAAGATGGCTCAGCCACAAATATCACATCCTGCTCTTTCAAAAGATTCAGGTTGGTATCGGCACCTATGTTGGGTGTCTCACAACCACCTGGGGATCTGATGCTCACCTTTGGTCTCGGGGCATCTACACTGACTTGCACCCCCACCCACCCACTTCCACACCTTACATACACATAATTAAAATAAAATACAAATATTAAAACAACTTTAAAAGCATGCATAGGAAATACAAAACCCAGGCTAAACCCAGTCTAAATGACAAGGTGTGGTGGCACATGCCTGTGATCCCAGTACTTGGGAGGTGGAGACAGGAGAATCATGAGTTCAAAGTCTTCCTTGACTACATAGCAAATTTGAGGCCAGTCTAGACTCTATGAGACACTCCTTCCCACCTACAACATTCTTTTAGGCAAATATGATCAAATTTATTCTGTATTAGTAACTATCATTTATGTTTATCTTCTTGCGTTAGAAAAAGGTTACATCCTAGAGACAGAGCTGGATGCTTTCTTTGACCATTTGCTGGCAAAATCTGGCACCGAGGTAAGTGCTTATATCACAGGGCACTCCAGGATGTGTCTCTCAGCAAATGCAAGCCTCAGAGTCTTGTGTTGATTTGAATCTATAATCCTACCTGACCTCATTTCTTCTTTGCATGTGACATCTTTCCCTCTCCTAGCAACATAAAGAGATTTAGGCAGATTTTATAAAAGGTACCATCATATTAGGCGTGCTGGTCACTGATTTTCATTAAAACATCTGTCGTGCAGTTACAGTGCCTAACTTTTGTGGACTCAGTCAACTCTAATTTGAATGTTTCCTTGGTTACATCTCTGCTAATGGATTTCAACAAGGGGTAGGGTAGTTCTTAGAACAAAACCACACATACAAAAACAAAACAAAACAAAAACAAAAACAAACAAACAAACAACCAAAACCAAACAAACAAAAAAATAGAGAAGATATTATGAGCTTTAAGGTTTACACATGGCAAACAAACCATTTAAAAAATCATTTTCCCATGATCTATTTGACTAAAAGGTTGTAGATTTCTCATGAACTGCTAAATCATACAAAACCAACATATTTAGAGTCAGATGTAAAATGTAAAGCAGTCTACCCAGATGGTAAATCTGGCCTGGAGAGATGTGAATTCATTCTAGAAGGTTCCTGTACCAAAGAAGAGAGGGGAAAAATAACAGAGACACCAAAGGCCAGGCTAGTCTTTGACTGATGCTCAACATGTAGAGAATTCCTTTGGGTGGGTGGTCACCAAAGGATGAAAGGGTCTGGGACAGCTGTGTTTACATGAATTGTCTGTCTCTAGGTTTTAATCTTTTTCTTGAAGGAGCATTGAGACATACAGACTTAGTTCCACTTCAGAGCCATGGCCATGGGTTCTCTACCCTAGAGGAGAGCAGGAAAAGGTGTTAGAGGGTAGGACAGCCAGCTGAGAAATGGAAAAAAAAAAAAAAAAAAAAAAAAACCACCTTGATCTCTGTCTGTTTGCCTTTCATAGTTTTCACTTCTGAGTGTTCTGGCACGTCTGTGTTCTGTACCTCTCAGTGCCTATTATTGGATTCCTTTCTCTGACCTCTCTGTCTCATGCATCTCTGTGATCTTTGTGTATTTCTCACCTGTTTCTTCAGCTCTCTTTTGACTTTCACTATTTCCATTCATGTTTCAAAGTTTTCTCTTGCCTCTCCCATTCCCCAGATCTTTAATTTCTCCTTTTCTATCTCTTTCCTATGTCTTCGTCTCAACTCTTTCTGTTGTTTATCTTTCACTTCTAAGTTTCTCTCCTCAGCTCTTGGTCTCCTTTTCTCTTGGTCTCAGAGTCTCTCTTTCCTGATTGCCCAGCCACTCTCTCATGCTGTTTGCAGTCTGTGTGGCAAAGGGTGGCAGGTGAGAGACACGGAGCCATGCACTGCTTCTCCATGCTCTGCCCTTTGTGTATGTTCCTCTCCAGCCTTCGTTGTCACCTTTCACTAGACATGGGTCTAGCTGAGGAAGCTTCCAACAACTGAGACTCCCATTGCCACTTTGTCACCCAGCTTCCCATGCCAGCAGCCCACTCTGAAGCCTATGAGCTTTGCATCTGTAAATGCTCAGGCTGTGATTTCATAGGAACCCATGATTTAGATACCATATACTCAACTCTGAATGGGGGATATTTTAAGAAAATAAATAGAGGAAGCTAAAAATCATTCAAAGCTCTCAGACTCTAAGACAGGATGATCACTTTCAAAAGGAACCATCACAGAAATCCCAGAGGAAGGAGTTTTTATGGCTGGGGTAGTTCAGTTGTTATAGTGCTTGGCTAAAAGGTATAAAGTCCTGGGTTTTATGCCTTGTGTTGCATGAGCCAGGCACGGTAGCAAACACCTACAATCTCAACACTTGGAAAGTAGAGGCAGTGAAATCACTAGTTTGAGGTCATTTTCAGCTGCATAACAAGTTAGAGGCCAGGTTGGGCTACATGAAAACCCATCTCAAATAAATTACACACACACACACACACACACAAAAAATAAATAAATAAATAAATAAATAAAGTATTCTGAGAAAAGAATTCTGGGATTTATAACAGAGAGCTATTTGTTCATCAATATTACTGAGCAATCATTCTTGCAGTTGCCTGTTCTATAAAGCCTCTGAGGGGGGCATCTACTATTATGGCTGTTCTTTGTTACTTCAACCTCACTTTCTGTATGGTGATGACCTGGAACCCTAGCAACCTGACTAAGGGTGGTGAGGGAATGAAGAAAGGAGAGATACACATACATGTGTACAGAAAAGCTGGGGTCATGTGGGCTGTATTGTAGTGTCCACACTACGATCTGTTTCATGAATCGGGCAATGGCCTAGAGATTGAAATAAGAGATAACACAGTGGGTCATTCGTTCAATGGCAATGTTGGAACGCTGAATGCCAAATGCTGTTTATTGAGTGGATGGAGTGGGCTTATATACTAACTTACAGCACAGTGGTAAATAACAGGATTTCCAAGCTTAGCTCCTCCCCACCAGGTGTGTGTTAGCAAAACAGGAAGGGTACCAATGACAACTCCAGGGGGCAGGAAGAGTACCAATAGCAGCTTTGGGCCAACAGCTTCAGGCTTGCTCAAGGAGCCTCAGGGGTCCATGCAGGGCCCTACACTGTATACCCTCTGATGGGGTTCACACCTACTTAGACAGTAGCAACATGGACTCTCCATGTTTTCATTAGGTACAGCACAGGGGATGGGGTTAGTTAGTCTTGGTAGAAGATATCTCTAGATGAGCAGTCTCAGACTATAAACATCTGTGAGAAGGAAGCTATGGCTGTTCAGATCATATTGCATTCAGATCAGAAGAAGGCTTTGCCATTTCTCTGAGCTTCACTGTAGAAGGGGAGCTTTACCAATTTCTCACAAGTCTGAGGTGCTGGTTTTTGACATGGTCGTGAACATGTTAACAATACACATTCAGTCAGGACTTCATCTACTCTTTACACATTCCTTCAGGGTTTCCATAAACTTAAAACTCCAGACTTATAGCTGAGACTGATATTCCTTTGAAATGCAATAGTTCTGGACTTTACTGTTCAGAAAATGTGAATAACCATGTCTTACTCTTCCTGTTTCATGAGGAGCCAGCTCAAGTAGAAAGTGCATTCTAGTAGCTGAAGCAGCAGCCATGCACATGATCTCATGATGTCACAATGACGTAGTGTCTCCTTGGGATCTTATATTTTCTAGCCTTTACTATGCAGCCCCTTTGCTTAACAATTACCAATGGGTAACTGAAAATATACTTCTCAATCTTGACCTAAAACAAATTCTGGAGATTCCCAGCTTGTAAGATTTAGAGACAAACATTTGAGCAAGTTTTTCAAAGTCCCTTTGGACAATCTTGTTCTCACTCCACTGGTTCTGAGAGTTTAAAAAAAAAAAAAAAAAACCAAACCAAAAAACCCACTCAAGTAGGGAAGGTGGCTTGCTGGCAGTCACCACAGGAGCCAAATATAATATTTGCTCAGTGTGACACAATGATCCAGGCAATGTTTCCTGTTTTGTCACTGGAGGCTTTGATCTCAATTCACTAATGTCCTCTCTCACATTTTTCATTTGGTGTGGGCTCACTTAGGAACAGTCAATTTTTTAAACAACTCCCTTCGCCATTCCTCATCTATAATCCTCAAATGAATACATTTGGTTGATGTTTTTATAGGATCAATCTGTCCAAGTCCACTTATTTTAACTATTACTTTAATCATTCTAAATACAAGACCAAATCCATTAGCCTAGCAGATGGCTTTGGGGAGGCTACAGTATACAAACCCATTTGACTGATAGGTAGTCTCGATAAAAATCCAGGTGGCTCTGCTTTGGCTTAAAAAATGAAAGTAACTGCTATTTTGTTCAATCTTTAGTTTTTACTAGTAAAACTTTTCATTTTTTGGTTTGTGTTTGAATTTCCTCCTTCCAAAATAGTAGTTCTCAACCTTCTTAATGCTGTGACCCTTTAAGACAGTTCAGCATGCTTTGTTGACCCCCAAGCATAAAATTATTTTCATTGCTACTTCATAACTGTAATTTTGCTACTGTTATAAATCACAGTGTAAGTATTTGATATGCAGGATGTATGATGTGTGATCTCCAAAGGGTTCAACACCCACGGGTTGAGAACTGCTGTGGATAACAAGTAAGAAGCATTGAGTTTCATTTAAAACTTTTTATTTTACTTGTTTTTATGTATATGGGTGATTTGCCTGAATGTTTATATACCACATGCCCTCAGAGGTCAGAAGAGGGAATCAGATCCCCTAGAACTGGAGTTACAGATGATCGTGAGACACCATGTGGGTGCTGGGAACTGAACTGAAGTCCTCTGTAAGAATAGTAACTGTTGTTAACGACTGAGCCATCTTCCCAGATCCACAATTCCATTTTTATACTTGTTGGTAAGTTTGCTCAACAAACAGGGAAGAGGTAAATATTGATCAATTGACACAAACTCAGTGGCTCACCATATTTCTGGTGTCCACTTCAGGCCTAGAGGCATGGAAAATGACCATGATCTTAGTTTAAAGGAGAATCCTCCAGAATGGAATGCTTTGCCTCCTTTTAGAACATCCTAAGTCTTAAGGAGCTTCCTCCCAAGATGGAAGGTTTAATCTGGGTAACAACCCAGTCTTTCCACACCACCAGTGACACTTTCCAAAGTCTCCTAAGCTAAGTATTGTGCCATGGCTTGCATGTCTCCCTTCTCTGACCAAATAAACGTAACCCCAGATATGCATACCATGATCCTAGAGAATTCAGTATCTTAAATCCTCAGTTGAGAGTGTTTTCTACCTTGTTTATAACTCAATATTAAACACATGTTCTGCACCTTCTTCCTACAATTAGTGAGACAGGAGTCCAGTGCCAGGAACCACATTCTCGACATGATGTTTATATGAAGTTGATTCTACTGACCAAAGTACCTGAACTTCCAAGAATTGGCTTTTAAGCTTCAAGGTCTTATGTTGTTTAGAGCTAAGCAAGGATATCCATGGGCTGCCTGAGTCCAAAGACAGTGATGAACGGGGTCCAACCAAAATTGTAAACTTACTTAAAATATGAGATTGCTTTTCTTGGTCATTTGATTGCATGCTTCTCCACTGTGAACTTTGTAGATAACAATGTCTTGTCACAATGTCAAAAGGTTGGATATACCTGAGAGAGAAAACTATTGTTTAACTAATTGTTTAACTAAATTAGAAAAAAAATCCAAAGCAAGTCACCAAAATGTCCCTGGATTGTTTGAATAATTTATCATTTATAAAACTCCTGACTCTAGGCCTTAATAACTCTGCTAGACACTCTGTGTTCTATTTGAAGTAACAGTGTTACTTCAGGGAAGCACAAGAGTATACTTCTGAAAGTGACAAGCCAGCCTGGCTCAGCTAGTGCCCAGCTTGTGAAATCACCCTTTCTTCCCATTTCCTGGAGACCAAAAGCAAACAACAGGCTTCCAAATCACAAGTCAATGGTGCCTCGGATGCTCTCATATGTTTCTTCTTCACTCTTCTAAATCACCAAGACTAATGTTGGAGAAGCAGACACCTTGACTGAGGGTAGCAATAGACAATGGCCACGAATTGTCATGTTTCAAGAAGAGAAGATGGAGAGTTGGTGTTACTCTTCAACCTTGTTTTACACTCCTGGAAATATGAACAGCTGAGCTGAAGGGATTGGTCCTAAGAAAAAGAAAGACACTGCTGCTATGTTAGTCAAGTAAAAACTGAAACTGAAACCATTCACACACACACACACACACACACACACACACACACACACACACACACACACACACACAGCGGGGGCATTCATGCATTCTCACACCTGTATGTGCACAGAAACACACCTTCAAAGAAGAAAGTGGCAGGAACTGGGAGTGAAGCTAAGGGCTGCAGGCTACAGGAACATCTTTCTGTCTCCTACAGCTGCTGTGAACATTCTGAGATGCTCTTTCTTTATGGAAGACCTTTTTATTTTTCATGCTCATTTCCTATTTGGTATTTCCCAACTTTGTATTTCACTGCCCATCCTCTCTGTTCCGAGCTTCACCGGGGAAGCTTCCCTTCCTTCCCCCTTCCTCGCCATTATGGACACCTCACAGAGAGAAGCCTGGTGGAAGGAAAAGCAGGGCAAAGATGCCCTCTGGCAGCCTAAGATGGAGAATACAGGCCAGATCTGTCTTACTGTCATGTTCCTACAGCTGGCATTAAGTGTGACAGGTACACGGGAGTGTTCAATAGCAAGCGGTATGCCCTGGGTTTGTTGCTGAGTTGAGCTAATGTGTTTTGGGGCATCCTATTCTGGATGAGACAGGAATACTAAATGCCTAGGCCGTTCCAAACTTGGCTTTTATTTGAAGATTTTTTTTTATTTCCCAGCACTGTCTACAGTTATTCTCGAGAATTTCGAGTGGCAAAGGAGGACATCTGGGTTAGTTCAAGAACATCAAGCAACTGCTCTGAACATGTATAGATAGATAGACGAGGATTCCAGGGAGCCCTCCAGAAGCTGAGTCAACCTTACCATGTCATCGTGGTATGGATGGTAGCTATTCAACAGTCACACCTCTTTTGGGCACTGGTAATTAGTAGCTGATGGACATGGAGCCTCTTGAGAGCAGTGTCAAGATGAAAAAACATAGCACAAAGCTTAACTCCCATGAACTCAGAATTGGGCAATGTTTGTGATCACCTCTACCTCTCAGCCCATGCTTGCTGATTCCTTCCTCACTAATTATGTATGTTATATTCCCTGGGCTAACCTTGATGTCCACTAGGGAAGATGACTGAAGACAAACAGCAGTGTAGGGAATGTCATACATGGGATAGAGCTGGGCTATCTTTGGTAACTCGATATCTACTCATTTCTTTGCTTTTGTTTTTATTTACTACCCACTTAGAACTATTTCTCCCCAAGAAAGAAAGCAAGGAATCTTCAAAACTGGACTGTTTAGTTAAAAAAAAAAGTAAAACCTTTGAGTTCCTGTAAAGAACTCTTGTATGTTAGTTAACAACCCAGTCTTTTCTTTCAACCAAATAGCTGATGACATTTAAATACATTATTTTAATGCCCACTGTAGTCACTAAGCTTTTTTACATCTGTTTTAGTAGTCGGGATATTAATAGGTGGTTGGTGGATCAAGAAAAGTCTGTAACTGCTCTGTCTTTCAAAAGAGGCAAAAATGATTAAATGGTTGGAGCAACATGATAACTGGGCTACATGCTTTTAGTGCTTGCAATCCCGGTGACTATAACTATACATTCTTTGTTTCAGGACACTTTTATGGAAGAAAATGTGCAGAAAGTGAAGCAACAGTTAATGACCTCCCACGACATCTCTAAAGAAGGTCACATAGAGATGAAAGAGGTAGTTCCATGACTACACACTCCATGCCTTTATATTCATCCATGAGCAGCCATTTCTTTTAAAAGACAATGGAAGCCAGGCATGGTTACTCTTGTCTGGCATCCCATCACTAGGGATGCTGAGGCAGGAAGATTGCTGCAACTTCAAAACCAGCCTAGGTTTCAGAGTGAGTTCCATGCTAGCTTGGGTTTGGAATGACACCTTGCCTCAAAACAACAAAACCACAAGAACATCAACAGAAAATAAAGTGAAATATTGCATTCAACTGAGAAATTAGGACATTTTAGTGAGGCTGAAGGCCTACATATTTTTGAAATAATCTCTCCTTTGTTGTCTGCTTAATAACTAAGAATCTTCCCACTTCCCACTCACTTACGAAACTGGATCTCATATAGCCCAGGCTGACTTGGAATTTACCGTATACCTGAGGATGACTTTGAATTTTGGCTCTGCCTTCTTCCACCTCCCAATTACAGGTGTTATGTCATCAAGCACAGCTATGTGATTATCGTCATTTTAAGTAGTTCAGCATTCACATCTGTTCTGTTATTAGAGCATTCTTGACCTAACATTTGTCTATATCTCATGCAAATTGAATCTTGAAAATTAGGAAACATTTACTGAGCATGAATTTAAACCTCAGCATCAGGGACGGTTGGAAACATCTCTCCCTGAAGATCATTATCCTAGCTCTCCAGAGGCAGAGGCAGGCAGATCACCAAGTTCAAGGTCGGCCTGGTTTACAGATCGAGTTCCACAACAAGGGCTACACAGATAACTGTCTCAAAAACAAACAAATAAACCACCAAAACAAACAAACCCTCAACCAACCAAACAAATAATCAAAAAACAACCAAATAACCAGTCATTTAGTATGGCTGTGATTCAATCAAAGGATGTAGTAATCTTGAGTAGGATGAGGCTACTGCTGTCTGTGATGCATCTTACAATTTTACAGCAATTGTGTGTTTGTGCAGTGTCTGTATGTGTATGGTGTATGTGTTATAGACATGTATGTGAATATGTGTGTGCACCCATGAGCACTCACGTGAAAGCCAGAGGAGGATGTTGGGTGTCTTCCTCAGTTCCTTTCTATCTTACTCACTTTAGATGGAGTCTCATTGACCTGAAGCTTGCTGTATTGCTAGGATGGCTGACCATCAAGTTCCCAAGATCTGTCTCTGCACTCAACACTAGAGTTACAGGCTTTTGCAAAGGTGCTGAGGATTTTAACTCAGGTCCTCATGCTTCATTTGTATCAAGTGTCCAGTGAATCATTCCTTCAGTCTCTCAATTAAAAAGACAGGAGTACACACTAAAATGATGAAGAGCCTATTGTAGTAATGCACAAACCCGAAACTTATTGATACTAGTTATTATCAAGACTTCTGTATTGTAAATGATTAGATTTATATGATTGGATGTGGTTGTTACAAGACAAGCATGTGAATAACTGGTATAATCCTGACATATTCTGCGACACTGTACAAGACCCACAGAAAATTACCTTTACTTATGGTAACAATTGGGAAAGAAGACAACATATACTTTAACAACTCCAGCCAGTTTTGCCAGTGTGCTGAAACAGTGCTTTGATCACTAGGGAAAAAGACATTACCTTGCCCACAAACCATGTGAAGTAAACAACCAACCTGGCACTTCTATAGGAAGGTAGGCAGCTGAGTGAATACATTTGCCTTTTGTAGTATAAGATGGGCACTAATCGTGTTATAGCCAGAGTCCCAGAATCTAGGCAGAGAGCAGCCATCCCTGTATCCACACCTGGTCCTGAAGAACCCTACAGCACATGACCAGCAAAACATGGCAGTTCAGTGTGAGCTTGAGGGTGTCAGTTTGCAATATAGACTTTACCACTTACTGTGCAGTGTTGACAGCTTTTTTATTTCTGTGTCACCCAGTTTCTGTTATTAGAAAAAATACTAGTAATGGTGTGTGTGTGTGTGTGTGTGTGTGTGTGTGTGTGTGTGCATGTGCGTGCACGCGCTCATGCACGCATGCTCACATGCCTTATAGCTGCTTGTTAAAATTATTTGAATTAAATCAGGTGTGGTAGATCACTTTCATAATTCCACTTGGGACACTGAGGCAGGAGAATTGTCCTAAGGCTGTTCCTGGCCACATATTGAGATTCTGCCTCAAAAAGCAACAAAACAAAACAAAATAAACCAGAAACAACTGACTTAGTATGTATGAACCTTAGAACAATACTTTGTAATATCAATAAATTAATCATCAATTTAATGGCAGAAGTACACATAGAACAAATTAAATGATAAACAAATTCAGCATCATTACCGTTACTGATATTGTTATTTTCTATTGTGGGGATCCACAGTTTTATATCTAACAGGAATATGGTACTTTTTGAAAGAACCAATAATTAACAAATGATCATCAAGGCTTAGAACTGCAAGCTGGACGCTTTTATCCTGGGAGCTCTGAAAATGTCCCCTATAATATGTGCATTACACGTTTTACTTGTTAAGTGGACACTGATAATACCAGAGTCCTTGACTATTCCTCTTTGTTTCCTGTAGCTTGCGCATATGTTCTTATCTGAGGATGAAAATTTCCTCCTGTTCTTTCGCCTGGAAACTCCTTTGGATAACAGTGTGGAGTTCATGAAGGTGAGCGCTTGTTGTCTCCATGGAGAAAGAGGGTGGGACTGCCATCCATTCCTTTGCTGGTCCCTAATGCCCTATGTATGTTTATGTGTATGTATGTACGTACTTACATTTGTAATGAAGTCTCTCATTGGACATGGAGTTCATGTTGAGGAGCCCTGGGATTTTCCTGTCTCCACCTCTCAGAGCTGGCATTACAAGAGCATGCCATCACATACAGATGTTTCACATAGGTGCTAGAGATGTGAACTCAGTAGGTCTGAATGCAGCAACCACTGTGCCCACTGAACTATTTCTCTAGTGCTTTGATTGTATCTTAAATGCCCTTCTTGGTGTTCTTCCTATTTTGTAGGGTGTAACCTTTCCTATGATCCTGCTGGCAATATGCTTTTTTCTGTTTGCCTGTGCATCTTTTTACTTTGTATTCTTAAAGATTGTCTTACTGAATATTCACATAAAATGTTCAGTCCTCCAGTGGCTCAGATGTAATAATACTATAAGATCATTAAATGGAGACTGCATTATAATCTATGTTTCTTTAAATTACTTGCATTCATCATTGTGGTATACTTATATATAAAAATTAGAATGTGAATCACATTTAATATATTCATTTTATAAGTTTGACTAAATCAGTTATAAATGCACAGACTTAAAGGATATTTTTGACTATTTCTCACTAAATATCAGTTTCAGGAGCAGTGTCTTACACTTCCCCTACAGGGTCTACAATCTGATTGTGTCTAGAAATTAAGATCCTGGCAGTTAATGTATTCATTATTTCCCTAGTGCTATGACACAATCTCCAACAAAAGCAAATTTAGGAAGGGTTTGTTTTGGTTTACAGTTTGTTAGTACAGTCTATCACAGTGAGGGTGCACAGTGAGGCGACAGGCAAGTGGTCACACTATGTCTGTAATTAGAGGGCATGGAAAGATGGATGCAAATGCTCAGCTGGCTCTTCGCCTTTTACTTAGTTAGGCCCCTGTCCATGAGATGGTGGTTCTGCTCATGCTCATGGAATTTCTTCCATCCCCAGTTAAACCGTCTGGAGGGACTCTCACACAAGAAGTGTGTCTTCTAGGTGATCCTAAACCAGTAATGTCAGCAACGAAGGTTAATAATCATGGTTGATAATCTTAATGAAAGGATAATTTTGTTTACTAAAAATCAAAACAAAGCAAAACCAAACCTCAAACACCTCATGATGATTTTCCTTGTGTGCCTCCCTGGAATGAATGGTCAGAGGTGATCAAAGTAATAGCACTGGTTAAAAATGGCATTCTGCAGTGTCACTCACAGATGTCCAGCAGCTGTCTTCCAGATTCAGTATGCAGCTGTATCCTCAGTACATCAGTGCTGGCCTCAACCATCAAGAGGGATGGCTTGTCACTATGAGATATCAGTGCCAATTTGTCCCTTCTTTCCAGAGTCAAGGCTACACAGGCAAGAGTCCTTGGAAAACTTTTCAATCTGTTGGTTTTCTTGGTCATTGCCTTTAGGCTTTCTGATGCAGGGTCTCTGTGTGGCCCACACAGGTGTTGAACTTGTAATCCCCTTGCATCATTCTCCAAAGTTCTGGGATTACAAGTATGTGCTATCACCACCAACTGTTTGGTTTGGTGTTTTCTTTGGCAGGTCACTCAGTGTAACCCAGGTTAGTCTAATACTTAGGGCAACATTCTTGCCTCAGTCTCCCCAATACTGGGGTTACACAAGCAACCTTGCCTTGCTCTTAGCTTCTTTATTCACCGCCCCCCAAAGTTCATCATTTTACCAAGATACTGCTCTATCGTGTTTTAATAAGGATCAGGATAAACAAATAGGCCAAACAGATGTTTATTCAGGGAGAAATAGACAGATGAACACCAGCAAGTTCCACAGGATCCTCTCCTCTCTGCCTCCTGCCAGCAAGAGACTGCTCCCAGGCTCCTCCTCAGACCTAGTTCCCCAGTCACTTCCTCTCCTGTCTCCACCTCCATTGGGTGTGGTCAGTGCCACAGATGCAGAGGAAGCGAATATCTCACTACACTGCTCTTTAGCATTTTAGTTGTTAACAGGTAACGATCAGATTTTCCACTTCATGTTGTACCAGATTTGTCTCCCTGGGGCTCAGTTCTCTGAGTAAGCCTGTGTATGTAGTCAGAGCTCAACAGACAAGCTTGGGACACATTTGGCTCCTGTCATTTTCTTCCCTTCCTGAAATTGTTTCTTTGTCTTGTAGGGTCTTTTAGAATTTCTCTCATAGTTGTGACAGCTCAACTCTATATTTAAAGCAGTATTGCCATAGTCTCTTCCATTTTTAGATTTTAATGCAAAGAAGATATTTCTGCTTTATGTGCTGTTCCTAGTGGAAGTCTCTTGTTTTAGGTTTCCATTTTGAGTTTTCCAAAAGAAGGCATGGGGTCCTCTTGAGTGGCTCTGAGACGCATCTCCGTCTCTGCCGAGTTCTAAACAAGCAATTGCTGTCCCCACAGCATGTCTAAGACTTGAGATGAATGACTTTTGTGTGTTTCAGATTTGGCGCAAATACGATGCGGACAGCAGTGGCTTCATATCAGCTGCTGAGCTTTGTGTGAGTGTCAGTGGGAATTCTACAACACTGATGAAGGGTTGGTTTGTTTGGGAAACATACATATATATATGTAATGTTTACAAATATTATAAATTTATATATGAAATTATATATATTATGAGAATTTATATATACAATATAAAAATAATATAAATATGTATAAATATAAAGTATATTTATACAATAGTATATTATATATTGTAAATGTATTATATAATATATAATTTTACATATGCATATAAATTATCTATATATGAGTTTGATTCCAGTGGGCCCAAGACACATGGCTTTGAATTTGTTACTTCAAAAGCAGCATATTTATGTTAAGATTATGAAGGTGAGCTGACAAGATGGCTCAGCCCGTAAAGACATAAGCCTAATGGTCCAAGTTCAATCCTTGGAACCACATAAAGATGTAAGGACAGAAACAACTCCACAAAGTTTTTCTCTGATTTGCAAATACTGTTGCATACCCCTGCATGTTATATATGTGCGTGCACACACATACAGAACAATAATAAAAAGTTTAAAAGCAATAAATAAATGAAAAAATAAATAAAGGTTTAGAAATTGCTTATCATGCTGCTGTCCTTGAAAAAGAAGTAAGTGGAGATTTTATGATAGGTTTTGTGCTTGGAGCTCCTTTCTGGCTTCCAAGAGCACCTTCAATGGCAGCCCTCCACACTTCCACTTAATGCTTATTTAACAACATTTTATTTCCTCCATGAATAAATCACAAACCCACCCCAATAGAAAACAAGGTTGTATCTTATATGCTCACTGTGTTCAATGTCACTCTTCCCTTGTCATCACAGAACTTTCTCCGTGACCTTTTCCTCTACCACAAAAAGGCCATTTCTGAGGCTGAACTGGAAGAATACACCAGCACCATGGTGAGTGAAGGAGTGTGGGCCCTATGAGGGAGCCTGGGCTCTTCATTTACCCAGGAAATGTTTGCTGATGGATGGCTGCATGGGAATAGCCTGGCTCTGGAGCAGTGGCTAAAATTGTTGTTGCCTCTTTCTTGGAAACAGATGCATGCACTTGAGAGAGAGAGAGAGAGAGAGAGAGAGAGAGAGAGAGAGAGAGAGAGAGAGAGAGAGAACTATTCAGCTGTCTTTGGAGGGACCAGGAATGCCCAGAAGACACTAGTTCTTTAAGCACCTTGCTAGGAAAATCAATAGTCATCAAAGGAACACAGACACAAGTAAACATGGACCTGTACCATCAGGACTCAACAGGTGGACATGGCCTCCCACCAGAGTGGTGATTCTACTCACTGAGCTTGTGGCCTGAGAGCAGAGGAAACACAAGTGGAAATGTGTATGTGTACAGTAGCTGTGACCTAGGAAAGTGATGAACTGCTGCCTAGGTAGCGTCAGGACAAAGAGAGTTGATGCCTATGGAGCTCTTTGTGTTCCAGGGAGAGCACAGGTAGGCTGTAGTCACTAGCTCGTATTGCAGTTCATGTCTTTATCGCATCCTCTTCTTAGGACATTCTCAACCCAAGTAACCATGAGGTGATTTCAGTGTCAAGCTCCTTGGAAAAGTTGCCTGTGGTGGGCTCATCATTGCTCCCTGTTTCAGTGTTCACTAAATGCTCTCGACTGTTTGTGTTGGCTTGCACAGCCTCTTCCTGTCTCCAGGGCTGTGCTTCATTCCCATTACATCTGAAGCTTTCTTAATTAGTAAGCAAATGACTTAACAGACAGACTTAGTTGTGTAATGTATGAACATCACTTTTATTTTATATTTTTTAGAATTTCATACACGAGTAGTGTATTTCTACCACCTTTTTTTTTAAACTGGTGTCTCCATGTTACATTTATATTTATACAAAGAATTCCTGAGCAGAGCTTATGAGAAGTTGGAGTTTATCCAGCTGAGAACAGTATATAGTTTTCTAAAATGTGGTCCACTGTGTGTGTGTGTGTGTGTGTGTGTGTGTGATGTGTGCTTGTGGTGGGGGTATGTATATGCATGTGAAGGCAAGAGGTCATCCCTTAGAAATCATCCATAAAAACAGGTATCTCTTACTGACCTGAGGTTTTATTGGTTAGCTGGCTAAGCTGATGGACTGCTTTCCCAAAGCTGGGATTACACACATGCTACCATCACTGTTTTTTTTTTTTTTTTTTTTTTTTAATATAGGTCCTAGGGATTAAACTCAGGTCCTTGTGCTTGCAGAAGCATTTTACCCATTGATCTATCACCCTACCCTGTATATAGGCTTTTAATTGGCTTGCTCAAATGCTGAAACTTATTTCAAAGATCAGCTATCTAAGAGCAGCTAAGTTTCTCAGTCAAAGGCACCATAAAGCTAAGCTTCCTAGATGTCAGCCCTGGACTCCTTCAGAATAATGCCCTGGACTCTGGCCACTCTGAGTGCTGGCCTGGGGCAAGTGAGTCTTCCCAGGGAAAAATGAGAGCTATATTTACCATGATTACCTGTAAGTAAGAAAGACGATGCTCAAGAGAGAACCAAATCCCAGGACATGATGTCAAGGAAGCATTTGGCTTATTTGTTCTAACTGAATGCAGGATGATATTGGGGACCCTGAGCAAACACCAGCTCAGTTCTGGGAAGGTGGTGATCTCCCAGGGACAGGAAGGAGGTGGCCCACTCAAGAGCCTCTGAGATCCTTCTGATCTAAGCACCAGTGAAGCTCTGTCACGGAATAAACACAAAAAGTAACTAGTTTGCATCTTTCAGGGGGCCAGACTAGGAGGCCTTGAACATATTTTAAACATCAGTTGAACAGAATGTTAGCCTGTCTGTTGTTATCTCAATTTAATTAATTTGTAAAACATGAACTACACAATGAATATATTTACATTTTAAATCTCGTGCAGCTTTCTGGCATTTCTTGCAGCTTGAAGCTGTTTGAGCAGAGGGATCCTGTCCATCCCCAGCTAACAATTCTAATCCCTGCTTTCTGCTTCATTATATAGCTTTAGCTATTCTTTTTCTACTCTTCTTCCCCTGGATCTTGAGCATCCTTCAAGATTCCATTAGATGTCTTTTCCTAAGAAATCCTCACAGCTTCCTTTAACAGCAAATCCAGCACCACACTCTGTCTAAGCTATTGTGCATGTCCCTGCCTTAACCTCATAGTCATTCACCGAAGTCATCCAGCAAACACTCATTAAATGCTTATCATGCCCTGGGCATGAGTCTAGTCACTGGAGATTCAACAGTGAGGGAAATAGGAATGAGGAGCTTGACAGTAAACAATACATACAGCAAATAATACATTGTATTGCACAACAGAGTGAGTGGAAAAGTAGAGCCTGCATGGTAGAAAACTGAGGGTATCCTAGTCTCATTTATGTTGTTGTCATAAAATTTCCTAACAAAAAGAAAAATTAGTAGAGGAAGGAACTTATTCCAGCTTAAAAACTGAAGGTTATAGTCCATCTTTGTGGGGCAATCAAGGTAATCAACTGTAAAATGCCAGCCTCATCACATCCACAAGCAGGGGCAGAGAGAAATGACTATGCTTCTATGCTTACTTGTTTGCTTGTACTTAGCTTGTTTTCTCCGCTTCTTTAAAAATGAAACTCAGACTTTTTATTTACTATTGACAGAATGTATTAATCTGCTTATATTTTTTTTCTGTTGAAGCACCATGACACACTATGGCTGGTGCTATTTCCTGCACTCTCATACAGGGTATGGACACCTGCCTAGGGAATGGTAACACCCGCAGTGGGATGGGTCTTTTCATATTCATTAACTTAAGGTAACTCCTCATAGACATGTCCCAGGTCAACTCAAATGTAGATGTACTTTCTTACTGAAACTCTTCCCAGGTGATTCTAGTCTGTATCAAGTTGGCAATTAAAGCTAATCATCACATAGCATCCCTATAGCCTACAGCAGCATCTTATCTCCAAGTTCCTATCCTCACAGAAATCTGATACTCATCAGGCTGCTTAATAAAAATTGAACTGAATTTTCTGATGTTACCTAAGAATCAGTTATGACTGAACCATGATAAAGTAAGTAAGGATTCTCTTGGGGCCCCTTAAACTTAATGTTCCAGGGCCAAGTAGACATGGCACCTGGCAGATGTGAGTTCTGTCACTGTCATATGTTTAGGGAGGAGCTGGGAAGGAAGATGAAGTCTCTTCCTTAGCCATTGAGCTTTCATGAGAGGGAATCTGGAGTAGTAGGGGAAAGGACCAGAAATGCTCTGGCTATTCCTGTCACTTCCACTGTGAATGTCACCACCATAAAGCATGAACCAGTAAGAGGAGTTGAGTTCAAGTTTCCTGTCTATCCTTCAATGCTAGTTTTACCTGGAGTCCCAAGTCTAAGAAGCCATGTGTCTCCTGAGTGCTGAGTGATTCCCCACGAGTGAATCACATTTCTGCTGCTTTAGTGCCTTCCTATTGAGTGATGAAGATGATCAGTGCAAAGTTGCCCTGAAGATTTTCTTCTGAGATTTAGCATGAAATGCTTTGGTTAAGAGATGTATCCCATCAGATGAGTTCAAGTTGACCCTAATGAGAATGGCCACATTTAACAGTTGTGTGAAGAAGCATGACTAACAAATGAGCAGAAGGTGAACAATCAATCAGAAGAGAAAGTCTCAGACCTGTACACTTTGTCCTGTGCAGATTTCTAATTAACATTCTGGAGGAGGAAGGAAGGAAAGGGTGCTACCAATTCCAGGAAGGAGGAGAGACTGTTTATCTAGATTGATATCATTAAATGATATTTAATTGTGTTAAATGCAAGCTAATGACTATCACAAAACAACAAATGGAATTCTGACACTTTGACAGACAGAAATTTCTATGAGGTTAAACTGGTCTTATGACGGGCATGAAGTCCGTCTAGTCTGAGACCCATCTGAACTCATTTGTGGGATATTTTCCCTATGTTTACTTTTCATATGCTGAGGATGCTAACCTGTTTAAAATGCAAGCTAATGCCTGATGACATTATGTCTCTGACTCAAACCATTCTTCTGAACTTCTTGGGCAATGTGGATATATATCTCAATTTTTAAGTCCAACATCTCAAAGTTAGCATACCCAAAACGGAAGTTCTTACCTTAACTCATAAACTTCCTTTGCTGGAGGTTCCCTTCTCCTTTATTGATGCCTTCTCTGCCACTCTAGATCTAATTAGCAAACCCTATCTATCAACTATCATACTAATTTAGATTCTATCATTACCAACAAAATGTTTGAAGCACAGTGGTATGTAAAGAAAGGAGATTCATTTAGCTGACGGTTTAGGGAGGCTCCGAATCTAAGATTGACTAGTCTTCACCTGTTTGCCTTCTGGTTAGGAAGTCATGGCAGTTGCATCCCAATGGCAGGAAAAGTGTATGTGAAACAGAACAGAGTGAGATGGAAGCAGGACAGGCACTCTAAGGCCGTGCTCAGTCTTATAACAACTCTCTCGTCTTGGAACCGAGTCACTCAACATCTGCATTAAGCCCTCCAAATGAGCACATTTCCTCCACTCAACACTGGTTCGATGGAGACCAAACTAAACTTTCTCACCTCAACGTCGCCCCTGTAGACCAAGCTTCCAGCATATGTTCTTTAAAGGGACACTCACAATGTAACAGCAGCTATATTCAAATTACATCATGAATCTGGCAATTCTCACCCTGTTCTGAGCTACAGTGATGGGTAATGAAGAGGCTTCATTCTGTCACTGGTCACTGTCACCTTCTGTGCTCTCTGTTGAACACAGCAGCCTGTGATTTCATTATGCTGTAGCCAGATCACAGTTCAGCTTAAACCCTCCAATGACTATTGTATTTCAGAGAAAATGTCAAAGCATTACTACCTGCTTATTTACCAAGTCAACATTAGCCTTAATTTATCTCCTTTTTATCCACCTCCACATGTCACGTGATAGACTTTTCCTGGGGAGACAAAACACACATGTCTATTCACTCCAGAAAGGGAACCCCTGGAATGCCAACTATTGCACAAGTGTTCAACCCGGTTAACCAGTGAGTATTGACATGAGCAGGTGAGGAGTTGCTCACCAGGAGCAGGGATGACTCAAAGACAGCTGCATTACTGAAAAGCCCACTCCAACATGGGTGATGACTCACAAAAGCCACAACCCCAGAACTCTCTGCACAATTTGAAGACAATTCCAAAGTCTGAGAATCTCTCCTCTACAACTCAGCTGGTCTCTGTGTCTTCCAGGCAGCTTGGATGGTCTAGGAGTCTCTAGGTGGCTCTGCTATTCTGAGAGTGTCTCTCAGCATTCCTCCTGCTTATATACATTTGAGGAAAGGATGGGCCTGGCGGATCTAGTCAATTTTAGGGACTTTCTGAAGCTATTGAGTTGTTGCTTTCTGAGTTTTAAGGAGCTTCCTGCAGAATGGCATGCTTTACCTTCTTTTAGAACATTGTAAGTCTTAAGGAGCTTCCTTCCAAGATGGAAGGTTTAATCTGGAAGGACACTGCTATGTAACACTACCCGGGTCTTTCCACACTACTGCCAATTCCACTTTGAAATGGGCTCCCTGGCTAAGTATTGTGCCATAGTTTGCATGTCTCCCATCGCTGCTCAATACCCTTAATCCAGATATGTATATTGCTTTTACCAATCATTCCAATCTTTGCTTAAAAAGCTGCCCTCTCATTGAGGGTGTCCATTATCATGAGATAGTTCATCACTGTCAATTTACAATCACCTAGAAGACAAGCCTTTGAGAGCGTCTGTGTGTTTTAATCTCATGTGTGTATGGCATGTGTGTGTGCGCGTGTGTGCATGCGTGTGTGTGCGTGTGTGTGTGTGTGTGTGTGTGTGTGTGTGTATACAAAGGATTCTTAGTGTGTAAGTGCAGGTACTCCTATGCTATGGTACTCATATGGAGGTCACAGGATAATTTCCAGTGTGATAGGCAATGTCCCTTTGTTGTCCACAGCTGCATATTCCAGGTTAGCTGGCCATCAAGCCACTGAGTTTTCTCCAGTGTCTACTCCTTCCCATGCCTGGATGAGCCTTGGGGTTACAAATGTATGTATCCCACAGCCCAGCTTTGACACAGAGTGCCGGGGATTGAATCCAGACCCTCATGCTTATACAACAGGCACTTTGCCCATTGAGTTCTCCTGTTGTGATTTGAAGTAAATCTCAGTGGCAGTGTTCAGATGAGTGGGAGTCTAGCTGACCACACTGGTCTACAGTTCTTCCTCAAACACTTCTCAGCCTAGATAGTTTTGTTTTTGAGTTTGCCCAGCAATGGAGCCAGGCCTATGACTTTCAAGGTAAGGTTACTACTTGCTTAGGGCTCAATCTAATCCTGCTTTCTATTAAGACAGAACCCTCTGTAACAGCAGCTTCACAAAGGGTGAGCTGTGAGCCACCCTCAAAAACTGTCATTATCTGACTGCACATACTATTTACATTTAAAGGATATGATAGCACATGTGAGAAGTTCCAAGATACACCTGTGCCATCTGTGACATCTCTGCTTTTGCTTTATGAGACAGAGTCTTATTATAGAGCCCAGGTTGGCCTTGAACTTGCACCAATCCTTCTGTATCCGGCTCCTAAGTACAGGGATTATAGCGTACTATTACAGGTTCACCCCTGTTTTATTATGTTCTATAACAGACATATTTTGATGTCAAAGGTTGGGGAAAATGGGATTTCATATTAATTTCAAATACTAAAAATAAAACTGAATTTGGAGAAGAAGAATGGATCTAAAACTAATAATTTTTCAGATGAGCTCATGCCTCCTTTGCCTGTGCAGCCTCCTCACATGATATGTCCACAGATACTCTGGAGCCCTAGAAAGAGAAGTCACACTCCAACTCATAAATGGAAATAAATGTGTTCCCTGTATATGCCTAAGCCCTGAGAGGTTAGAACAGAAAGTTTTGGCTCTTAATACCATCTTACCTAAAGTTTTGTACAGGCAGAGATGGGCTTTTGGAACAATGGTAGATGTCTTTTGCCCCCTGTTCTATTCAGCAGGGGAATCCTCCATAAGATCCCCTCACCCAAGGCTTGGTTGCTGAGATGCCATAGGTGAATATAAAATAAATAAAGCCCTGACTCAAAGTGACACACCGGATTTTCATCTGCCATCACTATGCAGAGTCTTATTTCACTTATTAGTAATCCAGCAGTTATTGCTGCCACCCACCAAATAACTACAGGTCTCCTTGGAAGCACGCAGGACTGACTGACCTACTCCTTTGAATTTAGATGTGGCTGGTAGCTTGCTTTAGAATAATGAAATTTTAATCAGTTAAATGAGCTGCTATTTTCTTTCTGCCATGGCAACCAGGAAGGATGCCAGAGATTAGCTGCTGTGAGAGGAGAGCTGCCAGCCAGTCCTAGATCTCTGTCAGAGGAGCAAGACATGGACCCCTGTTGTGATAACACACTGAATATTGGTCACTGTGACCCATCCCAACCAGAAGCTGAGCTGCAGTCATTTGGTGGCAAACACTTATTTCTCCTTGGTGTGTTCCTCAGCTCAGCTGGTTTAGAGAGGTACCTTAAGAACTTTCAAGATCCCTGTGTGGTGGTGGTGCACATCTTTAATCTCAGCTCTCCTAAAGCAGATCTCTCTCTATTCAAGGCCAGTTTGGTCTACAGATGGAGATGTGGGATTCTGGGACAGCCAGGGCTATAAAGAGAAACCCTTTCTCACCCCCTTGTCGTCCCCCCTACACACACAAAAGAAGAGAACTTTCAAGATCAATTTCTGGTACAAATATTTGTTGAATTCATGTTCCATTTTGCCTTTTAGATGAAGATCTTTGACAAAAACAAAGATGGCCGATTGGATCTTAACGACTTGGCAAGGTAAGTGGTGTAGAAATGGTGGTAAATTCAGAAGTTCTTGTCCAAGGGTCTGATGGCAACGCACATCCTTTGAAATCTGAGATCCACCCTAGCCTGGAGTCTAGGAGACCAGGTTCATCTTATTAAACCAACTGTGGTGCTTCTAAATCACTTTGGGAAACAGATTCCTTTGTGAAGATAATCAAAGCTCCATCCTGCCTACATAGACAATGTATATAATTAATTTTTATTAATTTCATAAATGTGTCATGAGTGGGTTTTGCCCACAGAGGCCAGACAACCATGGTCCCACACTGTGATGCCAGAACCAAAGTAAAAATATCTCCCTCCAAACCCCAAATCTAACTAAACAAACCCAATGATGATGATAAATGAAAAAAATCTTGAAACTATTACCTGACTTTGGGAATGTTGAATTGTTAATTCAGAACAAAAGTAACAACTGATTGACTTCAGTAGGACTAGCTTTCTGCTGGCCTTTGAGGGCTGACTACCCTCTGGAGTACCTGAAGGCTAGCAGTGGAGGGGGGGGGAGGATGAGAGCAGGCACAACATAGTCCATGAGTCTTCCAGGTTACTTGGGGCTGATAGATTACCATGTGTATTGTTAAGCAGCTTTCCATAACTATAATGAAATGTCAGAGGTAGGTTAAATGATAAACCAAAAAACAACCCATTGAATTATTTCACCATTTCAGAGGCTGGATATCAGAAAAGCATGATACAACTTCTAGAAAGAATTTTTTGAGTGTGTCACAGCATGGTGGGAGCATTTTGGCATTGTGTATCACTTGTTTGTGTGGTCTTCTACCTCTTTCTTGTTCATGACATTGAACCCGTGGCTTTGCATATGCTTGGTAGGCTCAGTGCCTGGCTTGAAGGTTGTCTGTGAAGAGACACACTAGGAAGACTGCCATCAGTCCTGACCAGGGCATTGACTCTTACACAGAAGATGGATTTGTCTTTTCTAGGAGCATTGTCTCCCTAAGTGAAGCTCCTTAGGCTCTTCGTCCTAATTTTTGGTCACTTTGATGGAAAGGGGACATTGTTATATCAGTCAAAGAGGAACAATGTGCTTCTCCCCACAGAGCCCGGCAAGGGGACCTCAACTCTAAAATCTTGTTTCTGCTCCCTCCACCCCACAAGGTTTTCTGATTTTCTTGGGAAATTGAGACAGAATTCCCATCCCACCCCACAAGAAGATGTCCAAAAGATTTCTTTGAGAGTCACACCTCAGGAGAAAAGTCAGTGTCTAAAGGATACATTGACAATATGGGTGACAATAAGAGCTTTTAATCTTCTTGTTCCTTCCAGTGACATCTGCCTCATCTCAGCTTTTCATATAAATGGAATCAGGGGAATAAGCTGAGTGGTAGAGGGCCTTGGTGGCCAGCATCCCTAAGACTGTAAGTTCAGTCACACACATGCACACATGCACACATGCATGTACACACACACACACACGCACACGCACACACACACGAATGCACACATGCACATACATGCAAAGAGAAATGTGAATATAAATGGGACCATGCATGCACTTTTTACGTCTAGCTATATCATTTACAATAATGTTTTGAAAGGTGTGTCTCTGTTGTGGGACCACTGACCCATGAATTTCTTGTTGTGGCTGGGTACTCTGCTGAACACACTCTATATTTTGCCCCTTTATCACTTGAAATATATTTGGATTGTTTTTACTCTATAGATACTATAAACAGTGCTAGTGTGTGAATGTGATGAGCTTCTCCCCTTGGTTATATTCTTGGAAGTAGAACTTTGGTTCACATGGTAATTCTATATTTAATTTTCCTCAACACTGCCAAATGGAAATGTAGTAATTTCTAAACTGCCCCGATTGCTGGAGATGTGTAGTAAGTTTTTAAAGTGTGGAGTCCTCCAATTTTGTTCTTTTTAAAGATTGTTTTGGCTATTCTGGGTCCATTTGCATATCTTGATATAATTTTAGGACTAGATAAGTCAGTTTCTGCATAAAGGCAACTCAGATTTCCATAGATTTTGTTCTGAATCTGCTGTTCAAACTGGGAAATATTGTCTTCCTAACAATATTGTCTTCAAGGTTATAAATAACAGTCGTCTTTCCATTTTTCCAGGTCATTAGTTCCTCTAGAAGATACTTTGGAATTGTCAGTCTATAAGTTGAACCTATTCTTGTTCAGTTTCTTCTCAATCATTTGTTTCTTTTAGATGATATCATATATGGAGTGGTGCTTTGGATCTTATTTCTTTCTTGTTGCTGTGGTAGAACACCTTGAATAAAAGCAAATTAAGAAAGGATTTATTTTGGCTTACAGTTCGAGAGTCTAAAATGGCTGGGAAGGTCTGGCAGCAAGAGCAGGAGGCTGGCTGGCCACATAGTCATCCATACACAGGAAGGAGTGGGAGAGAACAGAAAGGCTACAAGATCATCAAAACATGCCTTTAGTGATGAGCTTCCTCTAGCAAACTGCACCTCCTAGAGGTTCCCAAAACAACACCATTGACTGGGACCACGTGTGCAAACACATGAGCCCATGAAGGGAAATTTCACATCACTACAGTTCTGCTTTGTTTTCCTCTTCTCCTCTCCCTCCTTCCTTCACTTCCTCCCTCCCTTCTTCCTTCCTGCTTTCTTTCTCTCCCCTTCCTTTCTTTTCCTCCACTTCTTTTTGTTTTTGATACAGGGTTTCTCTAGGTAGTCCAGGCAGATTGGCCTTTAAACTCATGCTATTCTTGCCTCAATCTCCAGACTGCTGTAACTGCAGGTGTGCAGTTTTGCTTTGGTTATTTCTAGTGAACAGAAATGCAATAGAAAAGTCTGTGTTGATTGTGTCTCCTGTAACTGTGCTGGTCTTGTTTATTAGCTTGAATAAGCTTTTGTTTGGTTCTTTGGATTTTATTGATACTATTGCTATTTGTAAATAGCAATGGTTTTTTCTTCCTTTGCATTTTGCTCGTCTTTGCTTCTAATGGAGCTATGAACCCACAAATATTTAATGTGTTTGCTAATGATGTAAGGATTGATGTTTGCTATTTTTCTGTGTTTTCTCTGTTGTTGTTTCTCCTTTCTATCTTATGCCAAATAATTATTTTATAGTGAACTATTTTCATTATCCTATTTAATTATCTTTCACTATTTACATCTTTTGGTGCCAGGGGCTAGCAGTGTTTAACTTTTTCTCTTGCTTATTTGGGGCTACAAATTTATTCATCATTGATGAACCATGATGTTTTTTTTTTCTTTTTTTAAATTAATTAATTTATTTTTTATTTTACATGTCGATCCCAGTTCTCCCTCCCTCCCTCCCTTCCTTTTACCCTCTCTACCCCCTCACATGCACCCTGATCACCCTCTCCTCCCATCCCCCACCCCAATTCCACATGTAGGGCAATGCCATCCAGGTGGGGGTCATGTAGATCTGTCAAGTCATTTGAAGTAGGGACTAGGACTTCTCTCCTGCCTCTAGGTTAAGGCAGTATTCCTCCCTGGGGGATGTGTCCACAAGGTCCTTTTGTGCACCAGGAATGCATCCTGGTTCCACTCTCTGAGATCTCTTAGACTGCTCAGTCCTTCTGGCTGAGACCCATATTCATGGGAGCCTAAGTCAGTCCCATGCTGGATTCCCACTATCAGTCTGGGGGCCCGTTAGCTCTTCCTTGTTCAGGTCAGCTGTCTCTGTGTGTTTCTGCAACCTGGTCTTGTCCTCTCCCTCTGCATCTGGATTCCAGTTCAACTCAGTGTTTAGTTATGGGTGTTTGCTTCTGTTTCCAACAGGTACTAGATGAGGGCTCCATGATGTTGGATAAGTTAGTTGTTGATCTCAGTATCCTGGAAGGGCATTTATGGTAGCCTTTCCACGGAAGCTCAAATTGTTAGTTGGTAGCAGTCTTGTAGGTCTCTAGACCTTTCTTTAGGTTCAGTTTTCTTTTCAAACCAATAATGGCTCCCTCTTATATGTTCTCTCTCTCTCTCTCTCTCTCTCTCTCTCTCTCTCTCTCTCTCGCGCGCGCGCGCTCTTCTGTCTTCTATTCCTACCCTGACTCAGTCTTCCTAGTCTCACGTGCCTTCCTTTCCTCCCCTTCTCTTTCTCCTACTTCTTTCTCCATTCACTGCCCCCCCCACTTCCCCTGTGCTCTGGGGGACTTGTCCCTTCCCCCTTCTGTGAGGGACTTTATATGAATCTCTTAGAATACACCTTGTATTCTACTTCCTCTGGTGGAGTGAATTATAGGCTACTGATTCTTTGCTCTAGGTCTAAAATCCATATATGAGTGAGTACATACCATGTTCCTCTTTTTTGTGACTGGGTTACCTCATTCAGGATGGTTTCTTCAAGTGCCATCCACTTGACTGCGAATTTCAAGACATTTTCTTATACAATCATTTTCCATCAGGTTTAGTCATTAATGATAAACAGAGTTATCTCTTATAACTCTTTTATGAAAGTTATCTTTTATCATTTTTATTTATCAACCCCGTAACCCAATTATTAAGAATCTAGAGGCATGACAGCCTGTTTTTAGTCTGGTAGTTTTTATGGCTTCAAGGACATTAGACAGGAAGAAAATCTCCAACCAGCCTGGGCAGATTGCCATGTCCCAAGCAGTGCATTCTTAACTCTTAATAGTCAGAGTGCCCAAGAAATATCCTCAGGCCAAAGATGCTGCAGTTATTATCCAGTTCCTGGCACAATATAACATTGGCATTTTATATATTTGTAGAATTTATTTGTATGTTTAATCTTGGAATTCTTTTGTTCCTTGGTCATAAGACACAAGTGTCTCCACATGAGATACATTTTCTTAAGAAGAGGAGGTCCTGACCTCTCTCTCATTCTTTTACCATCTTTCCACATCATTCTTTGCCCATCAATATAAGTTCCTGTGTGGGGCAGAGGTCACTTCAACTAATCTAACTTTGTTGCTATATATATGCCACAAAATTGCTTCTGTGGTATAGTAGGAAGAGGCTTGTAATCGGATCTGTTACCAACTCTTGACAAATCTTGTTGACCTTTTAAGTTTACATTGTTGTGATTATCTTGTCCCTCAGTAAGTGCAGGGGCAGATGTTTGAAGAACATATCAGAGCCTCGTAAAAGGACCTCTGGCTTCCGTATGTGTGTCACAACCTCCAAAACATGAGGAAGACCTTTAAGTAGCTAAGGATATCTCCCTAAAAAGTAGGAGGGGTGGAGTGCTCAGGACTTTCCTGGGGAAACTTAGAAGCAAAACTCCTGGGAGGAGGCATGAATGATTCATAAAAAAATTACCATCAATCCAATATCTTCATATTGTGCAAATATTAAAAGCCTCCCCACCCCCCACAAGCATGCTATACAAGTAGATCAAAAGCAAAAGTGGCACGGTGGCCATCATGCAGCTCAGCTTTGCTGGGTCTTTGTCAAGCAGCTATGTTGGCTTTATGACTTTTGCCATTTCCATCAGATATGGCTGTGTCATTTTGGGTTATTTTCTTAATAGTTCTCTGGGGGATTGCCATTAACAAACAGAATTAATAGCAACTTAATTTCAACATTATAGTAAATTTGTGGTTTTATACAGTTTTAAACTACAGTTAAATCCCCCATGTTCTTTATGTTCTCCAAATCACATCATTATATGCTGTGCTCCCATCAACACCTATTTATACTTTCATTCTTTTTTCTTTCTTTCTTTCTTTCTTTCTTTCTTTCTTTCTTTCTTCCCTCATTTCTTCCTTTCTTCCTGCCCTCCCTCCCTTCCTCCCTTCCTCCTTTCTTTCTTCCTTTCTTTCTTTTTCTTTCTTCTTTTTCTCAATAGGCTATTGCTGTGTTGTCTAGGCTGGCCATGAACTACTATGTTCAAGGCATCCTCCTTCCTCAGTCTTCTGATTACCTGGCAGTATGTCAGGTGTCTGGGGTGCACATTTTGAATAATTGCTTGAGGGGGCTAAAACACTGGAAACAACAACAATGACATTAATACTGTTCCCACTTTTTAAAATGTGTAAGTATGAGTGTCTTGGCTGCATCTATGTTTATGCATCACTTTCTTGCCTGGTACCTTTGAAAGCTGTGAGAAGGCTCCAGATCCTCAGAAACTGGAGTTACAGAAGGCTGTGCACTATCACATACTTGGAATAGAAACTGGATCTTCTACAAGAGCAGCCAATGCTCTTAACCACCAAGCTGCCTCTCCAGGCCCACATGCTGCTGCCTTTTATAATTGCTCTTGCACTTAATCTTACTGATGCTTCTGATTTTTCTCATGGATTCAAGTTTCTGCCTATTGCCTTCTCATTTCAGGCTGAGGACACTGCTTGGTTTTCCATTTAGGACATATTATTGGTGATGACACTTTTGTTGTTCATTTATTTGGTGTCATTTCTGAACTTGTTCCATACAGTCTCTCCTCTTCATTGTATGAATCCACTGAAGTCTATTCTTGGGAAGCTTAATGCTCAGTTTGTGACCAGAAAGAGAATGCTTTTGTTTTGTTGTGGATGAAATAGGAGCCAGGCATAGTAAGCAGGCCTTGACCCATGATAGGCTAGACCTCTATCACTAAGCCATATTCCCATCCAAGACTTCCTTAATTCTGGGACAATGTCTGGGACAATGAATTCCCAGTCACTCTTCAGGGACTCAGTGTACAGGTTGGGGAACAGAATGCTACAACATTTCTTGTTCTTGCCAAGATATAGCTGGGGTTTTCTTAGTTTTGTTTTGTTTTATTTTGGTTCCTGGAGACAGTGTCTTTGAAGCCCAGGTGACTTCAAATTGAAAAGTCTTTTGCCTCAGTGTCCAGAGTGCTAGACTGTTAGAACTGCACTACCATACCATATTGATTCCATTGTTTTTATAAAATAAACACTCCCCAGACTGCCAAAGGCTTTAAATGACTTTCCATTTTTCTCATTGCTTTTGTGGGGCAAACTTTCATAAGCCTGTAGTGTATGATTTCCCGCCAGGAAGGGTCTTTAAAGCTTTGTGTAGTGAAGGCTAATCAACAGGAAAGTTTGCCCATCACTCTCCATGCATTGATGGTATAGGAATTCCTGTATTTCAAGTTTCTGTACAGTTCTTCAGGATAATGTGGAAACCATCAGTCATTTCCTCTCTGCAGAGCTGTGCATTTACTGACAGATGGGAGAGCTTACAGAGGGTCACGCGGATTCTGTTCTTTTCCCCCCATTTAGGATTCTGGCTCTTCAGGAAAACTTCCTTCTCCAATTTAAAATGGATGTAAGTGATGACATTTCTCTTGATGGGTTTCTGCTACCTTTGTTTCTTTATGTATCTGCAAAGAAGGAAAGGTAAATTAGTTATTTTTCTTAGTCATTATGGTAAAAACAAATGTGGCAAGGAAGTGAAGGGAGAGAAGGTTTATATTGGCTCACAGTTATAGAGATAGTCCATCATTGCCATCATGGTCAGGGAGGCATGGTGGCAGGAGCAGCTTGTAGCTGTGGAAATGGGATCTTGCTTACACCTGGGTAGAGCAGGAAACAGAGGACCCAATAGGAAATAGGGCTGAGCTATAAAACCTAAACATTTGCTACTTGGTGGCTCAATTCTTCGAGCAAGGCCCCATCTCCTTACAGTACTACAGTCTCCCAAAACAGCGCCACCAACTGACGAAAAACTGCAAACACATGAGACTGTGGGGGACATTTCCCATTCAAACTATAACAAAAGATATCCATTTGTATAACACTATTAGAGGAATCAAGGAACTTTAACTTGATTCAGAGTTTATAAGGGTTGCCCAACACCCTGTGGGAATTATATACCAGTAGCTATGTGTTCCTGGATTGACATAATGTTTTCTTCGCACCCAGGCTTCTTCTACTGAAGAGAGGAAGAGGGACTTTGAGAAAATCTTCGCCCATTATGATGTTGTAAGTGCTCTTCACACTTTGAAGCCATCTTTAGGCAGAAAGCTCCCTTTTTTCCACTGTGGCAATGTCATACTGACAAAGTCTAAACTGAGAGAGTGTGTGAGATGTTAGGTCAAGGTGCCCTGAACATCTTCATACAAGGTTGGATGATTAAAGAATGGCAAATCAGGGAGCTGAAGAGATAGCTTAGAGGTTAAGAGCACTGGCAGATCTTCCAGAGGTCCTGAGTTCAATTCCCAGCAACCATACAGTGGCTCACAACCATCTATAATAAGATCTGGCATCTTTTCTGGTATAAAAGTGACATGCAAAAAAAAAAAAAACTATACATGATAAATAAAAATTGGACAAAACTGATTTATACTTGAGCAGAGAGGAACTCATAATGTCTGTTTAGCTTATAAAACCATGTCAAAGATCCTCCTTGTAAGACCAGACATCCATTTATTGTGTGTGCCAAAAGAAAGGAACAAACAGAAAATCTCCCTTCCATCCAGACAAAGTCAGTTCTGCCCAGTGTAAAATGGTTCTCTTGTAGATTGATTGTACAGACATTCTTCAGATGGTGCACTGGCCGGTTCTGTGTGTCAACTTGACACAGGCTGGAGTCAACAGAGCGAAAGGAGTCTCAGTTGAGGAAATGCCTCCATGACATACAGCTGTAATGCATTTTCTCAATTAGTGATCAGTGGAAGAGGGCCCAGCCCCTTGTAGGTGGTGCCTTCCTGGGGTGCTGGTCTTGAGTTCTTTAAGAAAGCAGGCTGAGTAAGCCATGGGAAGCAAGCCAGTAAGCAGCACCTTACCATGGCCTCTGCCTCAGCACCTGCTTCTAGGTTCCAGCCCTGCTCGAGTTCCTGCCCTGACCTCCTATGATGAATTATGATCTGGAAGTGTAAGTCAAATAAACCCTTTTCTCCTTAACTTGCTCTTTGGTCATGGTGTTTTACAGCAACAATCAAAACCCTAGCCAAGACATGTGGGTATATCATTCTAGAACACTAAATGGCACAGTGTTGAATTTCTGGAGATCAAGGTGGGATAATATGAGAAAAAGGGAAAATAAGTAAAAAGGTGGGGAATATCCAAAGAACCCTCTCCGTAAAATTAATGTCCTGGAAGACCTGGACTTCATTCTGAGCAGAAGCACTGAGCCTGGGCTCAGTTCTTACCTTGTATCTGCTGCCCAGCTTTCCATCTGGGCTTCTCAGTCTTGTGACCTGGGATAGGTACCTCAACTTCATTATTGTGTATGTAGCCTTGGCTGTCCTGGAATTTACTCTGTAGACAAGGCTAGTCTCAAACTCATAGATCTGGGAGTGCTGGAATTAAAGGCATGAGCCACCACTGCCTGGCTTCTCCCTGCCTTTCCCCCCTCATTTGTAAAGCTAGAAAAGATCAGGATAAGAATGGATCTGATGGAGCTGTGAGAGTGGTGTGAACTACATTTTTAAAGCTTTAACAGAAGAGTTTGGTATGCAGCATGACTTGCTAGTGAATCCAGTAAAGGAGGCAGTTTCAAAATAGTGTGTTAAAGAGTGAGGGTAAAGAAAACATAGGGTGACGAGATGGGAGTCAGGGGAGCTAGTTCATGCCTCTAATCCCAGAACTCAGAATGCTGAGGTGAAGGATTTGCTGTGAGTTCAAGACTAGGGTGGATTACAGAGTGAGACCTTGCCTGAAAAATTAAGAGGTAGGGAGGGGCTAGAGAGATGGCTTAGAGGTTAACAGCAATAGTTGCTTTTCAGGAAGACCCATGTTCAATTTCCAGCACCTACATGGCAGCTCATAACTATCTGCAACTCTATTCTAGGGGGTCTGACACCCTCTTCCAGCCACCAAGGGCACAGACACACAAATCCCCCATACATATAACCTAAAAATAAATACCTCTTTAAAAACATTGTGAGGTGGAAGGCATTATCATAACAGCTACTTTAGGAAAAAATGGACATGTTTGAATGTCTATACCTCATTTTACTTTCATGTTTACAAAGATTTCAGAATGAGTAGGGGAAATGTCTCACATTCACAACAAAAACAATGTTTTATATACTGATGCAATATAGCTTTCCTCTGCTTAAACTTTACCACTTTCACTAGTGACCAAATGATTGCTCAGTTATAAAGCAAATGTTTAAAATGTCCATCCTGTCTTCTAAGAGTGATTGTTGTGTAATTAAAACTTCCCTGAACAGAAGCCAGTATATGGGAAGCAGATGTCAGGAAGTTTCATGGCAATGTTGTTTGCTGAAGAGCTCAGAGCGATGCTTCCTTTTGGGGGGGGGCAGGAAGCTATTGATGAGGGATGCTGTTAGTCCATGCAGGGCACTCATCCCCTGAGAATAAAAAGCAGAGCACCCACTTCTAAATTGGTTGGCAGTTACAAATGAACACTGATAGGTCAATTTGTCAAATTTATTCTTTAGCTTTGTGAACTAAGAAAATTATATTTGAGTGATTGGATCCTTTTGTCCTTTAGAGTAGAACTGGAGCCCTGGAAGGCCCAGAAGTGGATGGATTTGTCAAAGACATGATGGAGCTGGTCCAGGTGAGTTCATGAGGCTGGAAGGGTTATTCCCATCATGCATTGGGGTGACATTGTGACAAAGTGCATTGTTTATTTCTGGGAATGAGTGTGGCTGAAGATTAATACCAGAGAGAAAGGTCTGGAGACATTTCCTATTTCATAACCATGTAGATTCTGTGAGGCTCAGTACATCTCTTTCACTTGCTTAAGATCACACGAATTAAAATAACTCATAATCAACATATAAGTGTCTTTTAACAATCACTTTAAAGTCATTAACTTTTTCCAAACAGCCCACTGTCACTGTGTACTTTACTGTTTATTTCTCAGTTGTCCAGAGCCTCTACTCCCCTCTACATGCCTCTCTCAGACTTCATTATTACGATAGCTTTAATTTTAAATTTAATTTTTCACCAAGGGGTTTTTCAAATATCTAGCCTAGGAAGGACACATAGTGTTATGACATTGCTAAGTTAGATTGAGGTGGTTTAGTTTTTATTATATCACATGGCTGTTTTCTGTAGGTGGAAAATGTTTCTAAAATGGCAGTCTCCTTTTGAACTTTATTCTCTATACTTGTTTATAATCTCCTTACATAGACAGTTCCAGTCTCTCTCACTCCAGGGAGCTGTGTAGACAGTGGATTTAGTAGTCTATGTACTTAGGGATTACTTTGAAGTACATTATTAGATGCACAATGATTGCATACTGACTGTTCCAGACAGGAACAAATTAAAGTAACAGTTATTAATTACTCTTGAAGTCTCTGAATTATTTGCAAATATAATTAATACTAGGAATCTTGCTGGGCACACTTGCCTTTAATCCCAGCACTTGGGAGGCACAGGCAGGCAGATCTCCTGTGAGTTCTAAGTCAGCCTGGTCTACAGAGCTAGTTCCAAGACAGGCTCCAAAGCAATACAGAAAAATCCTGTGTCGAAAAATGAAACAAAACAACAACAACAACAACAACAACAACAACACACACACACACCAAAACAAAATAAAACAAACAAAAACAATCAAACAAACAAACAAAAACAACAAAACAAAACACAAAACAAAGAAAATTAGGAAATCTTGCAAGGGAAGAACCAGTTATCCATTTTTTTTTTTTTTTTTTTGCACAGATCTCCAGGAAGTTGACACTCTATGGCTGAGCAGACACAGGCACAGTTCTGTCTGATGTTCAGTCAGGTTTACTGGCATGTCACCTCATCTCAGAGATCCCTTAACTGTTCCCCCATCTTTGCCCTGTGGCTCTCAGGGCTCTCTCCTTTACATCCTGTGGTTCTTTCTGGCCTCCCCCTTGCCCTGTGGCTCTTAATGGTCTCCCTCTTGCTGTGTGACTCTCCTTGAAGATACCACAGGCATTTCTCTACCAGAACAAGTGACAGATATTTGGGTGCTATTTCCTTTTGAATTGATGGCTGACGGATAATCCCATTTTGTCCACTACCCCTCTGGGATAGTAAGGTTTCATGGCAGATGGATTGGCCCAACCAAAATTTTAGTTTGCTCTGATAGACTGAATGGGAGCACAAGCTGCTTAGTTTCTTCTCTGTAACAGAACCAGGGTCCTGACTGAATGTAAGCCTGGGGCTTCCATAATCAGACAGAGCACTTGCTCTGCCATTCCTCCTGTGACCCTCATGGGGCTAAGCATCACATGTGGAGACCCAATTAGAGCTGTGCCAAAATCCTCTTCTGTGTAGAACTTGGAAAGCACTCTCCAGGTACTCAGTGTCTGATCCTCCCTCTCTCATGTCACCTGCCATCTCTTCTCTTCCTTTCTTTGCTTGGAAATTTTTCTGTCCAACATACTAGAACTCTATTCCAGATCAGCATTTGTAAATTTTATGTCTGTGGACAAGTTTCTCCAAAGGCTAGGTGGTAACTTGGGGTGCTGTTAATTTCTACTATGATCCCTGAAGATAGCATGACTTCCCAAAGTCACAGGCTTTGTTACTGTTTCAGAACAGATCGGCTGTCATCATTGGAGTGCTTTTCTGATCTGTAATTGCAAACATACAAGAGGAAGTTTCTCAAATGGAATCTGTAACTCAATGAATGACATCGTAAAGTAGAACCCTGTCTGAAATACTAGTATGCCAAAGGTGTGCAAGAAAGCCTCCAAGACAGAAAAGTTGTGTCCAAGGGCAACTGACTCACCATAGTTTCAAAGTGTATGATTCCTTTTCTGATTTTAAAATCTGTATATAAAAATATTGAAGAGATGGAAAGATAGCTCAGCAATTAAGAACACATTTTTCTCTTGTAGCGGACCAGAATATGGTTTCCAGCATTCACAGTGGGTGTCTCACAACAACCCAAGCAGCTCCGGGAGATCTGATACCCTCTTTTCCTCCATAGACACAGTACACATGCACACACACACACACACACACACACACACACACACACACACACACTTAATTTTTTTTAATTGTCAAAAATAAAGCAAAATTTAAGAAGTCAAGTGTTACAAGTAGTTTTCCTGCTAGCCTGGTCTCACAGCTGCATCATCCCCAAGTAACACACAGAGAGGCTATATTAGATAAAATGCTGTTGGCCTGTTACTAGCATTTCTTATTGGTTAGCTCTGTCTTAAATATTAAACCATTTCTATCAATCTAAGTGTTTCCACATGGTCTTATCTTACCGGACAGAGGGTTCTGAGTTCTGCTCTTTTTGTCCTACATGTTAAATCTCCTACCTGTCCCCCGAATCCTCCTTGTCTCCTAGTCCCACCTATCTTGCTTTCCTATTGGTCAACAGAGCTGTATTCATTATCCAATAAGAGAAACATATTTACAGAATGACATTTCCCATCAGTCAAGGAGGATATAGGCTAAGATTTCCAGTTCTAAGATGACTACCTACTGTTCCAGGCCCAGATTCACCACTTTCTGGCAAGGTGATCATGGGTGTCATTTAGCACCTATTGATCTGTTTCCTCTCCTGCTTGTCTTTTGTTTTGCTTGTCATAATGGGAATTGAAGACTAGAGCTCACATATGCTAGGCAAGTACTTTCCCACTGCACTAAAATCCAAGCCTGTGTTTATTTCTACTGTGAAACAGAATCTCACTAAGTTGGTTAGGCTGACCTTGAGCTCCAGATATAGTCCAGGCCTCTGGTGATCATAACACATACAGGGCCTGTAAGCCATAGTCCAGGCCTCTAGTGCTCATTACATGTAAAAAGCTGGTATTCTGGGATACCTACCACAGAGAGTTGGGCATGCTGGCTGATAGATCAAACACTGGCTGCATTCTTTTAGAGGAGTTGGAATGCAGAAGGGATGGGCTATGATGAAAGTCTAAAGATGACATTGAGGGATAGGGTGACTCACAAATCCACAGATAGGAGGGAAAAGCACAGGCTATGAGCATGAATGGGGGCTAGGGGGCCAGTCTCGAAATACCCCAATTCCCAAGACTCATGAGAGATCAGCAGTTTTCAGTCAATTGCCCTGGGTCTAGTGTCAGGTGGTCCTTTGAGGGAGATGAGACAAAAATCTCTTAAAATGAAAGCTGACGGTATGATGGTGGGCTGATTGCTGAGTCAGCATTCTGACTCTAAGACACCTTCATGATAGTGGGCAGGTTAGATGGTCTCTCTGAGCTGTAGTTTAATCTCCTGTAATTAAGTATGAATCTGTATGAACCTCCTGTGTTTGTTCTGAAGATTTGAGATTATGTTTGTAGAGCCCCCACTCCAGGAATCTAAGCATTCCTGTGTTATTGACTTGCTATTAAGGCATCCTAAAGATGGAGGCTCCATGGTTTCTGTTACCCAGAGAATTTTTAAGTAGTGATATTTAGCTTTCCTAACTCATAGCAATGTCTCCAGAATTAAAAACATAACTTACATGGTACAATGGAATTTCTCTTATAGCTTCCCTCCTTCCTTACTTCCCACTACTCTAATACCCCAAATGTTTCTTACTTACTTGAAGGGAATAATTATTCTGAAATAAAATATGTTATTCTTCAATTAGGATTAGAAATATTAGAATAATTTGAATGAGGTAAAGATGCTGGCAAATAATTCATGCTTAGATGTAAATGTCTACCATTCTAGTCTTCTTCTAAGCATAAGAATTTGCCATAAGGGTACTGAAGCTGGGTACCACTTACTGGAGAGAAAAGCTATAGCCGTGAGTTATTGAAGATGCTGAAGACTAGACATCTTCACTTTGCATCTGTAAAAAGGCGAGTTCTTCACAGGACTCCTTGTGAAGCTTGCTGTAGACTTCCAAGCCACATTTCCTTGAGCTGGACACATGCCTGCCTAGTACAGAGACCCAGGACACTATACTTTATGAGTCCATTGAAATGCTTCTTACAGAGGTGTAAGAGGTCCCCAGCCCCTCCTGCCCCTAGCCCAGCCTGGTGCTCCTTTAGTTTCCAGCTGTTCTTTTCTCTTTTTAAAGCCACAGTCAGGACAGATGTGGCACCAGTCAGTCATTCTCCTTGCTGGAGGGTTGGTTAGCTCTCCTGGTTGTGTCTCTAGTTTGGAAATGGGAGGTTTTGTCCCCTAGTGATGATCTTTTAGAGGTTTCTTTGAAATTGAAGAAAGCTTCAGGCAAGGTTGGGGATGGGATGAGGAGTGCTGTTATGAGCAATTGGATTAATTCCCAGGGGCTCAGAAGTTTCTGGAAGGAAGCTGCTCTTTCTTCTCCTCACTCAGGTAATCAAGAAGAATGACCATCCAAGTCACTGCTTTTCCTTCTCTTTGGTATCAGTTTTGCAATTTTGATTCATCCCTCTGCCCCAGATTTCTCTAGAGCTGTGTGAGATGATAAAACCAGAGCTCTGTCAGCCAGGAGACCTGGCATGAAAACACCAGCTCTCTCCTCCTGGAAGAAGGCTGAGTTCTTCAGAACCTCTTTTCTAGTCTAGGCAAAGGCTGTCACTATTTCCCTCCTGGACCCCTGTGAGGAGAGGATGAAGTATGTGACAGGAGTCACTCTAGCACGGTGGTTTGTGTAGCCCGGAAGCTTCAAATGTTTCCCTGGGGTGCAGGTATAACTGTCCCTTTTTAGTCTGGAAGCACACCTGGAATAAATCTTCAGTTGCTACTTTGATATATAACATGGAAACTGGACTTTTATTGTGTATGAACCCTCTTTAAACTAGAGGCATTAAATATCCCATGGACAATAACAAAGCATGTCTTCTCTCATTGGCATAAATGACTAAGACTCCTGCCACAGGTCTCTGCTTTGGGATAAACTTTCTTCAATCCAGTTGCCTATAAAGCAGGCCTTTCTGAAACAACTGTGGCAATTGATGAGGAAATAAGACTTCAAAAATGTTTATTTACTATGCCTGAAGGTGCAGGCTAAGAAATCGAGCCAGTTACAGTTAGGGACCCTGGGTGAGATAGAGACAGTAGCTGTCCCTGACTCCCCATGGCCCATCATCTGCCCCACTCCTAATTTCCCAAAGCTTAGGGGACTTAGGCAGGGCTCTGGAGTCTGTGATTGCCACTGGCCTTCTGAATGACTATGTCCTCTTGTCCTCAGCCCAGCATCAGCGGTGTGGATCTTGATAAGTTCCGGGAGATTCTGCTTCGCCATTGTGATGTGAACAAAGATGGAAAGATCCAGAAGTCTGAGCTGGCACTGTGTCTTGGGCTAAAAATAAACCCTTGACCCCTGACTGCTCTGCTCTCTGCTTATGTGTCTGTGCTTTGCTTTTGTGGACCCAGTCAGCAAACTTCACTGATGCTGTGGTACTCTTGGGCAGGGGAAGGGGCCCCAGGGTGCTGCTTGCAGAGGCAGCCATGATCCTGTTCCATAGGAAGCCCCCATGCAGCTTCTTCTGTCTCCTCTCCTTGACCTTGTCCTGTCCCTCCACAGCCTCAGTTTACCTGCTGGTCTTGCCCTGCTCAACTTTCCCCTTCTCTTGGTGGATAGGGATAGCCATCGGCAATCTGCCATCTGTGGTTTGTCCTTGAGCTTTCTGCTCAGATTTTCACCTGTGCTGTCATAAATATGTATTCACAAAGAAAGAAATCTGTAGTCAAGAATAAAGATGTGTTTGAGTTATGAGCTTGTAATGTCCTGATGGTTTGGTTGGAGCTCTGGCTGGGATGAGGGACATCATCCTAAAGCAGTGATTGGCTGCAGGGAGCTAGCAGTTGTCCCAAATAATTTGTGTGTGTGTGTGTGTGTGTGTGTGTGTGTGTGTGTGTGTGTGTGTGTGTGTGAAAGCAAAGCATCCTGGGTCAGGTTTCATTATTTTGTTTGTTTCTTTGACGCAGTGTTTTACTGTGTAGCTCTGGCTAGCCTACATCTTGCTATATAGAAAAGACTGGACTCCAACTAACATTCATTTTCCTGCCGGTGCTTACTGAGGAGTACTAAACTTTTAGACATGTCATGACCATCTTGGCTTTGTTTTTAAGACCTTGGTGAAGTCACTTGCTCAGGTAGGGTGGTGTGTTACTTTGCTTTCTGTTGCTTGATAATACCATGACCAAAAGGAATTTGGGTGGAAAGGGTTTATTTGTCTTATATGTCCCAAACACACATCTCTACCACAGCCCATCCATGAGGGAAGCCACAGCAAGAACTTAAGCAGGACAGGAACCAGTAGACAGGAACTGAGACAGAAACCATGGAGGAATGCTGTTTACTGGTTTGTTTTCCTGGCTCATGTCACCTTTCTTTTACTTTACAGGATGACTTATCTAGATATGGCACTACCCACAGTGGGCTGAGCCCTCCTACATAAATTATTGAAAATGCCCCCATAGAGTTGCTTACAGGCCAATCTGATGGAGACATTTTCTCAATCCAGGTGCCCTCATCTTAGATGATTCTGCTTTGTGTCAAGTTGATAAACAAACAAACAACTACCTGGTACAAGGGGATCTTCAAGAAATCCAGATAAAATGTATCTGTGGATACATAGATATCTATACTCCCGTGCCTTCATGGGCACCTGTGCATATGTTTGGTCCACTGTGATAATTCATCTCAGTTGTTGACTTGATGACATCTAGTGTCACCTGAAAGACAAACTTCTGGGTAAGTCTGTGAGGGATTATCTTGGTCAGGATAGCTGAGATGTGAAGGTATACCTACTGTGAGTGGCAGCCTTCCCTGGATGGGATCCCGGAGTTCACAAATGAAGAAGGGAAGTGCACAGCACACACTCATTCCTGTTCCATGATTGTGGATGTGGTGAACGATCCCTTTGAACTTGAGTTAAAATGAATCATTACTTTTGTCAAAGTGGTTTCTTTTTTTGTTTATTTGGTTTTTTCTTTTTGTTTGTTTGTTTTTGTTTTTAACACTATGGCTGGAAAAATAGATGAGACCCCCCCCTCTTAACATTGCTCCCGTGTCTGCCTTTCTCTCTTGCCCTCATACACCTGTGGCTCCTTGCAGAGCATCAAATGTCTTTATCGGTGAAAACAGTAGTCTGTAAGTGGGCAGAGCTGCCAACCTCAACACTGCAAATATGTGCTGGGCGTGGGGGAGGGGAGTGGCAGACGTTTCCCTTTGATATTTTAATCATCAGTATCATTGTTTAAAATCACTTCTAATATTAGTGACCATTCCCCTAAAGAAAGGTTAAAGCTGGGAGGTTCTTCTGGGAACTGAAGTGCTTCCTGGGATGAAACATACACTCATGGCAGTAGATAGTCACCCTGGCAGGAGGGAACACCTTTTATAGAGGCACACATTCTGTAGAGCACACGTGAGCGGAGCTCTGGATCCCACAGAATGAGATTTCCTCTAGAGTCTGGGCTGTGGCAAGGAAAAGCTGAAACCCTGGTGTCAGCAGGAAGAGGGCTTGCTCCAGAGTCCTCAAGCTGCTGACAGCTTCACATAGGCAGATTTGCTTATTTTCATCTTTTTCTATAAAATTATAACATCGACATAGCAAAACTGAAGAGGAGCTGAGGATAGTTTTTCCTCATTTCCTCCTCTATTTGTAAACAAATTCATGTGTCTTTGTTAATTTCTGTTTCCTAATTAATTTTAAGAGGTGGTAGGTTTATGGATTGTCTCCCTGTAACACTGGTGCAAAGGTAGGTTGGGTCAAACAAATGAATCAGTATTTTAAAAGCTATTGGCTATTTCCAGCCCAAAGAAACATACAATAGGAAAAAAAAAAAAAAAAAAAAAAAAAAGTTGTCTGGTTAGCTCAATTGGTTAGAGCGTGGTGCTAATAATGCCAAGGTCACAGGTTCAATCCCATATGGGCCAATTGGGAATAATTCTTTGGGCTGGAGAGATGGCTCAGCCATTAAAGGTTAGGCTCACAACCAAAACAGGGAAAAACAAAACAAAACAAAACAAAACAGAAACAATGTAAACGAGAAGAAAAATATCTGATCTTAGAATTAGGAGCCCTAGTTAAATTTTATGCCTATTATACACCAGTTTTATAATAATGCTACCTATATCTCATTCATGTATACTCATGTAAAATCTTCTAAGGGTCAGTTTCTTCATTTTGTAAACAGAAGTAGGACTGGCATGGTGGTGGTTCAGTTGATAACGCATTTACTGCACAAGCACAGGGCTCTGAGTTTAGGTCTCCAGCACCATAAATGCCAGTCAAAGAAGCCCTCTCTTATAATCCCCATTTTGGGGAGGTACAGATGGGGATCTTTAGGGGTTTCTGGCCTGCCAACGTAGCTTAATGGAAGAGCTCTTGGTACAGTGAGAAACCCTGTCTCAGAAAACAAGGTGGAGAGGATAGAGGAAGAAATCTAATGTTGACCTCTGGCTTCCACAAGCACGTGTACCCACAAGTGCATAGACACAGAAAGAGTCACCAGGCTCAGTGGGAAGCTTACATTATTTGCCAATCTAATGTGGAGTATTTCATAAATGTAATGTCCTACACATTAGGCGTCAGAGCGGCAGTGAAAGGGAGAGTGACTTTGATCTACCACCATCTTGCTCTCTTGCTCAATCCCTGCTGCAAAAGACCTTGTGTGTCCTACCATGCAGTTGCCAGCAGTTTCTCAATGGGCTGGACATCAAACATCTTCTTGGATGTGAAGCCTGACTTTACCTCAGAATTCATTCTTACGTTTTACCCACTTATCTTTGAGTCATATTTCTTTATCTTTGAGGCATATTTCTTATCCCCCAAACTTCTCCTTGAGACCTAGAAATTTGGGATAGAGGATATTCACGCATACCAGCATGTCAAAAATATCAGAGGACAAGAAGACTCAAATATTATCAACAGAGTCATCATCACACCGTTATCATATCAAAGTCATTGTCATTATCATCTTAGACATGACTTTACTCCTCTTTTAGGCTGGTTCTTATTCCTGAATTAGAAAAAGCAGTACGTTTTCCACATTCCCCATAACATCTGCATTTAAAGGAATCCAGGGACAGAAACTGCAGAAAAAGGCCGTCTTGCTGAGAAACTGCATTCTTAGCAAAGATAGGGCTTTGCTGAAGGTGCTGTTATTTCCATTTTATAAACTAGAACATTTGGGATGAAGACAGTAAACAAAAGGCTAAGGTCTGCTACCAAGGAAATGACCCAGATAACCTCTGGGTTTTGACCCAGGGCTCAAGTGGCTTTAACAAAATTGCTTAAACATTCTTTGCATTGAGGAGGTAACTGTGGTAGGTTTTGAACACTAGTAACTGCTAGGACAGGAACCTCTTCTAGAATAAAGAAAATTTGAGTCAGGGTTGGTAATGCGGGAATGCAATCCTAGATACTCAGGATACTGAGGCAGAAGGCTTGCAAGTTCAAGGCCCGCCTGGGCTATGTAACAAGTTTAAGGTCAGTCTAAGAAAGTCAAGGACACTGTCTCAAAATAGAAATGAAAAGACAGGACTAAAGATGTACTCAGTGGTAGAATATTTGCCTGGCATATGTGAAGTCCTGCGTTCTGCACCATAAAAAGAAAACGTACTACCAACCAGCGAAACAAACAAGAAGATCTAAATGCAATAATGCAATATATAAATAAGTCACAATGTACAAAAATCCGGCATGGAAAGAATATCAACAGGTTAAATAAAAACAGGGCCAGTGTTCTTGATTTTTGTTTCAGGCTCCATTAGGTAGGTTTGTGTGTGTGTGTGTGTGTGTGTGTGTGTGTGTGTGTGAGAGAGAGAGAGAGAGAGAGAGAGAGAGAGACAAATGCTTATTGTGAATTTTAGTTTTAGGAGACAACTTTGCATTTAAAAATATTTTCTTTTTGAAGAAAATATTTATATTTATTATTTAATGTGCATGTGTGCACATCTGAACAGGAGAAGAGGGGAAGAAAGATTGTGCACATGAGTGCAGTGCCCACAGAGGTCAGAAGGGGCATTAGATCCTCTGAATGTTAAAGGTTGGCATGCAGCACCTAGTGTGGATGCAGAGGATGGAACTCTTTGGCAGAGCTGTGTGTGCTCTTAACCATTGAGCCATCTCTTGAGCTCCCTCTACTTGTCAATCACCAAATTACTCATTTTGCAGACTCCATTGGCCCATTGCCTTGATCTACATAAATCTTCCAGAATGTTCCATTTCAAAAGCTTAAGAATTTAGTCTGCAGAGAAGACACGGAAGGGAGACAAGATGTGGGAGAGGAGAAAGCAACAGATCTTGGAGGACCAGGAGGCAAGCTAAGTTCCTTCCTACCTTCCAAGTAGAATAAAAGAGATAGACCTGACTTGCATTAACAGAGTAAGCTCTGTGGACCCTAAGACACTGTAATTGTAGCTAGCTTCATGAAAGAACTCTACTGAAACAGT